GGTCGTTATCTCTCGAGGGGTCCCAGACTGCGAGAGGGCACAGGCCGGGCTGGGGGAACCCCCTCCCCCCGAGTGCACAAATTTTTGTGCACCGGGCCTCTAGTATATTTAATAAAGATTGCTGAATAAGGAGCGCTTCTCCTGAATTTGGAACTGGAAGATTAGGTCTTTTTGAGTTAATAAAAAAGAAGAGTTAGATTCTTAATTTAAGGCTTTGAGTACTGTTAACTTATTTAGAAATTTTTTATTTATTCAGATGGGATAAAGTCAGTATTTTTTAAGGAAAAAAAATTTTGTTACGCACTTTAACCTTTATACCTGTATATATTACTTTTATTAGTCTTTGATTAGAATTATTAATTATATGGCACTGATGTAATAATCATTAAATTGGTGTTAAAATGGCTAGTGAGACCTTAATGTAGTTTTAAAATAAAACAATTACTTGTCAGATCTTTAATGTTCATTTGGTTTTCTTTCAGGAAGATTTGGAGACTGGAGTTCACCTTGACCCTGCTGTCAAGGAAGTTCAATATAATCCTACCTATGAGACCATGTTTGCTCCTGAGGTGAGAAAACATACTATATGTAAGATTCTACCTTTTGCTAAACTATTTAAATTATACATAGGTAGATAAACAGTCGGTGAATTTTTCAGTTTTCTCACAAAAATCTACTATTTAAACTTTTTAGAAAATATATCCTGTTATATATAAACTATATCTCAATTTTAAAAGAAAATAAAATATACCTTTCTATTCTCCAAAACTTTGAATTGTGTATTTGCTTTTGTGAGAATACTTTTTAAAAATCCACTAAGAATTTCTATCTACCAACATACACCTATCTGGTAGTGTGGAGCTACGTCTTTTGAAAAAAGGAAATCTCAGAATATCTGATTCTTAGATATAAATTTAGTTAACATCTTCCTCTCAGTATTGATGAGAGAGTATTACAAATTAACCTTAAGGGGAAAAGAATTTTGTTTCTTAACATCATCACTGCATAGTATATTATGAAACATCTGGTTACAAACATTGCTGTGCTGAATATTAAAAGAGGTACTATACTGATGTGGTCACGGCTCGAAAGTAGTCACAGTGTTTATTGCCTGCTCTGAGTAAGACATCTTATCGATTCTTTTTTCTATATAATGATAATGATAAATGGTGATGAAAGCCTTAAAGAAGGTGAGGAAGGAAGAAAAGAGTGAAATTTTTCATTTAGGAATGTTTGTAGAAAAGATCAAATTTCTAGATATTTTGCCTTTAAAAAAGGAAAAAGAATGCTTGATTGACAAAATAGAGATGCCATAAAATGGTAATTATAAAACACACAAGGAAAGGTTTATTAGGGTCTTTAAGAAGCACTTTAAAAAGCTAAATCTTATTGTATCTTGGTAGGTAGCGAAAGAGGTACTTTTTAATATTTTTCATTTTTTTAGTGTATAGTCATTGGTGTTTTTATTTTTTGGTGTTTGTTTTTATAAAGCAGAGTCATAAAGCTATTCCACATAATTTGCCTGTGTAGGTTTCTGTAGTCACTCAAAATATGGTGATTGAAATATTAGCACAGCTAATGATGTCAATGCCAGTATTTGGACAATGCTCTAGTTGTTCTCTGGGTACACACGAAGCAAAAATCTCATTCTCACACTCCGAAACTATAGCACATTTTAAATTTTATTCCGTTATTTTTTAAATCCTTCCAGCCTCTTGAACTGGGCTGTCCCATATTCCTTAGCAACATTTTAGCCATCACATTGAAGAGAGGTTGTATATTACATACTAGAGGCCCGGTGCAAGAATTCGTGCACCAGTGGAGTTCCTCCATCTGGCCTGTAGGAATCAGGCCGAAACCGGCTCTCTGACATCCCCTGAGGGGTCCTGGATTGCGAGAGGGCGGCACTTGGGTGACGCATCCTGGAATCGGGCTCCCTCCTCTCTGGTTCTGGGTGCATCACCCGAGAACCACAGCTGTCAAGTCACAGCAGCTCGGCAGCTCCAGTGTTGAGCATCTGCCCTCTGGTGGTCATTGCATGTCATAGCTACCGGTCGGACAGTCGCTTAGGCTTATATATATTATATATAGAATAGATACGCTTCATGAGTTTTTAAATGAAAAGTACTTCAATAAAATAGGATCACTGAATTCAGAAAATGAGAAAATTTGGAAGTAATGTAGGATATGACATTCCTATGTTGATACAGTACATATATAAATTAGTTTGTGTTAGAAACACTGCAGTGCTTGTCAGCAATTTAAAAAAAGAGTGAGACTGAAAAGTGAAGAAAAATTACAATATTTCCTGGTTGCCAAATGAATTGTCTGTGACATAACAGATTATTAACTTTGAATTTTATGACTAGGATCTATATAACTTGGCAAAGTCTGGAAAGGTATTACCAGGAACTTTGCTAGATGAAATTCAAGTTCTCATATTTGAGGAGCCTTTGCTAGAAGCAAAATGTAACCCTCTCCTCAAGCTAGTTTTACCAAGAAGATATGCTAAGTTTATTTTTTTTTAAAGATAGAGACCAGATTGTTTCCTATAGTGCCTCGAAAGTACTATTCAGGTTTAAGGAGAGATTACATCTGGTTATAAAGATAAGAAGTTCCATGAGAAAAATAGTATTTAAAGTAAGCAGTCCAGGTTAAGAACATGAGATTTGGAGTTAGACTGCTTTTTAGGTCTTGTGTGACCTTGGATTATCTTAGTTTTCTCATTAGGTAAAATGAAGATAATTTCTACTTTACTGAGTTATAAGGATAAATGAGATAATGTATGATGTACTTAGGAAACCTTCTGGCACAGAGTAAGCATTTAATAAATGGTAGCACTTATTGTTACTTATATTACTATTATTGGCATTGATGACTAGGAAGGCTTTTATGAGGAAATATTCCAGGCAGAAGGGAAAAGCATGAGCTAAATCATTGAAGATCTAAAGAAAAAGAATGCTGCCCTAGCCTATGGCTCAGTTGGTTGGAGCATAGTCCCATACATCAAGAGGTTGTGGGTTCTATTCTCGGTCAGAGCACATACTCAGGTTGCCAGTTCGATCCCCAGTTACTGGAGGCAACTGATCGATGTTTTTCTCTCTTAGATCATTTCTCTCTCTTCCTCTTCCCTTCCTCCCTCTTTCTCTGTCTCTCCCCTCCCCCCTTCCTTCTCTCTAAAAATCAATAAAAACATATCCTTGGGTGAGAATTATAATAATTAACTAAATCTTTGAAAATAAAATAACAAGAATGCTTTAGTCATTATTAGTAGGGGAGAAAGGGGAGGTTAGACTAGAACAGTGGTTCTCAACCTTCCTAATTCTGCGACCCTTTAATACAGTTCCTCATGTTGTGGTGACCCCCAACCATAAAATTATTTTCGTTGCTACTTCATAACTGTAATTTTGCTACTGTTATGAATCGTAATGTAAATATCTGATATGCAGGATGTATTTTCATTGTTACAAATTGAACATAATTAAAGCATAGTGATTAATCACAAAAACAATGTGTAATTATATATGTGTTTTCCGATGGTCTTAGGCGACCCCTGGGAAAGGGTCGTTCAACCCCCAAAGGGGTCGCGACCCACAGGTTGAGAACCGCTGGACTAGAACAATACTTTGTATAATAATATTGCACAATGCTCTAAAGACCAAAGTGGTCTTTATTTAATTAATGATAAATAGATTTCTAAGGTTCTGTAGTGGGGGAGTGGCATAATTAAAGCTGAATTTATAGGAAGGTGAATTTGGTAAAAATTTGCATGATGGAAGAACTGGGATAGAAATTAATGAAATAAAACTACCATTTTTAAAACTGGGTTAACCATGCCAGCTACCATACTGAGGGGCATATATACTTATATACCTATCTCCTTTAGTCTTCACTACAACCCTATGAAATAAGTACTCTTATCCCTATTTTATAGCAAGGAAACCAAGTCTCGGATTATACTGCCAGCAAGTGACAGACTTGAGGATTTGAGTCCAGATCACTCTTAACAAATCACTCTGTAACTGGAAGAGCATTTTGAAGGCCATGTAAGGTTTGCAGGGTATACACCTATGTCTTTGACTTTGCTAGTTCAGCAAACTAACTGAACTGGCTATTTTGTTTTATCAAATATTGTTTACACCTCCTAACCAAGTACTTTTCCTGAATGGTCTACTTAGTTATCCAGATAAGCTTTCTCAAATTTATAGATAGAACTTGAAGATTGTAGCCATTGTTTTAATCTAGTCATTTTCTTCATTTCACACAATCCTTTTTGTATCTACTTAGAGAAAAGTGTGTTTGTTGGCTTCTCTGGACTCATAAAACCCACAAGCTTCAGGGAGATTTTCAGACTTAAAATAATAGTATATTTAGGAATAGGAAAAAAATATAAAAGTTAGAGGGGAAAAAAGCCAGTTAATCTTAAAAACTTGACTGTATGGGCTGCTATAAATATTAATGTTAAAATGAACTTTAAAAATCATGTGGCTTAGCTCTTTTATTTTATAGACGAGGAAACTGAGGCCCTAGGTCATAGAATCAGCCCTAATAAAATATTCTTACATTAATGATATTTAAGCTTCGCTTATATCTTACAAGATTGAGATATTCTGCCAATAAAATTGAATTTTGCTGATATTTTCCAAATTTGTAAAAAATAATTTAAGTTAATCAACAGACTCTTCTCACCTTAAGATTTGTTTATGAATGTTTTAAACATTGATGATTGCAATAAATATTAATAAAGAACTTAACCAACAATCTATGATTATTAATTAATAACTTGGATTTTTTTCTATATGTAAACTTAGGATTTCAAAGACTAGTCAATTTTTAAAATTACTTGAATTACAAATGATTTACACTTAAACTTAACTACCAAAAGTTGAAAAGAAGTATTTGGGAATCAATGATGTGCATTTTTTAATATGCTTTGTTTTGTTTTTTAATGGTTAACCCAGAATTAAAGACATCATATTCACAGAGACCAGCAACATCTGGGAGACATATTTTGAGTAGTTAGGAGAGCTGAGTCTTACTAAGTAATGTTCTCTGCCTTTGTTTGACATTTAATAATTTTTTAAATCCTCACCTGAGGATATGTTTATTGATTTTAGAGAGAGGAAGAGAGAGAGAGAGAGAGAGAGAGAGAGAGAGAGAGAGAGAAACATTGATCTGTTGCTGCCCGTACATACCCCGACTGGGAATTGAACCCACAACCTAGGTATGTGCCTTGATCAGGAATTGATCCTGCAACCTTTTGGTGTACGGACCATACTCCACCCAACTGAGCCACCTGACCAGGGTTGCCTTTGTTGACATTTAATGTCTGTGAGCTCAGCTCCAATAGCTGCCAGTAACCAGGCAGTTAAGGTGAGAGCCAGATATAGATGGAATGTCCCCCACACAGCTTCCTATATCATTAAATTTTTTGTTGTCTCCGCTTAAATATCTATAAGACAAGCATATTTAAATTTTTAGACTGATGTTAAGGATAGCACTTCATATAAAATACACTTATCTGTAATATATGGATCTGTATTTGTATAAAAATCAAAGTTCTTTGATGCTGAGAATTTTTCTTTAAAATTTGGTTTGATATGTGTGGCCTATAGAAGAATTACTCTCTTTTTGTAAGATCTTAATAAAATAAGACTATGGAAATTATATTTTCCTTTTTTAAATTGGAAATTATAAGCATGATTGATAATTTATTATATATGAAAGGAATTAACAGTAAGAGCAATGGGGATTTTTATCGTTTTAGAAATAATAATCACATGCTGCTATGCAGATGTAGCTGACTGTAGCAAGTAGAGCATCTAGGAAACTTTTCATTTTATTATCTTTAATTTTATGGATGTTTCTTGTTTTGTAATAAATTTCACGCCTGAATGAAGTTAACTGAAAATTTCAGCATTCAGCAGTTTAGGTTTTTTTTTTTCCTTTTGTTTTTACCTAGCAACACAGGAAGAACTAATATGGCCTACAAAGCCTTGTACTCTCCTTTATTATAATTTAGAATAAATAGTAATAAAAGCTTTATATAGAAAACAGGTATTTTAAGATTGAATTATTTTAAACATAGAAATGGAAGCTGTCGATAAAAAAGAATATTGTAATTTTCCTTAAGCAGAAAAATTGTAAGGCAAACCTAACATCCTTTAAATTTAGATTTTTGTGCATAATATAATGTTGATATTTAGAGAAGGCAACATTCTGGTTAAGAGACTATGAATAATTTATATTTATGGCTCTGGTTATACATCATAGAAAAGTGGTTTCTAATGCCAGTGACCTAAGATGTTCTAATGTCAAAATATTTCATCTTGACAGTAGACCTTTCAGAATTCAAATAAAAATATTACATGTAATTCCATTATTTTCCAAGGGGTAAGTTTATTTTATTCTTTATCTAAAACAAAATGAGGAAAGGTATTCTCCCAGTACTTTATAATAGCATTTTTTTTAAAGTTAGAGGCTATGATTGTATATTTAAGGAATAGTTTATGTAATAGAATGCTAGATTGGGATTTATCCTAACCTTGGTATTACTAATGAATAAAACTATTGACTCTAAATCAGGTAAAATACATCATCTTTGGCCTTTTTCTTCATTTCTAACATGAGAAAGAAAATACTTCTCTAACTTTCCAGGATTTTTGTACAAATTAAATAACATTTGGAAAGCCATTCTGGAAACTCAAAGCATTATAAACAAATAATGGTACTATTTTGTGCAAGGCTTTCATAGTGTGACTTTTTAGAATGGAGAAATTTTTTAAAGCACTTTACTTTTATTGTTTATTTTACTGTCTTTTGCCCCCATGGGATTTTGATTAATCTTTCCTTTATTAGTGCTTTCTACTTCCCAGGAACTAGGGTAAGTTTTAAGGATTCTAGTCTCTACCTTTGAGGAACTTATAATCTAGTAGAGGAGAAACATGTATTTTTAAAATTACTTCATGGTGCCATTATTGGTATAAAAGTCCCCCCCACCAAGTCCCCCACATCATGGTTTAAACAAAACAATAGTGTCACTTATCTAGAGGAACACTGTCAAGTAGAACTCCGTCATAATGGAAATGTAGTACCCGATAACCACAAGAGGCTGTTGAGCTCTTGAAACGTGCCTAGTGTGACTGAGGAGCTGACTACTGAAGTTCATTTCAATTTAAATGGGCATTTGTAGAATTGGGTGAGCTAGGTTTCTCCTTCTGTCCTAAGATTAACAAACAGTCCTAATCAGCCATCTTCTAGTAGCACTGAGCTAAATGAGGCGAGCATGTTCCCAAACAGGTTCATCAGCCCCTGATGATTTAGAGTTGAACATATATTATTCATTGTATGTTATTCTAGTAATTCTAGTTTATACACTCAGAATTTAAGTTATTTTTCTTTTTCTTTTTTTTTTAATAACACTACAGTTTGGACCAGAAAATCCCTTTAGGACCCAGCAAATGGCTGCCCCCAGAAATATGCTTTCTGGGTATGCTGAACCAGCTCATATCAATGATTTTATGTTTGAACAGCAAAGAAGAACTTTTGCCACATATGGTAAGGTGCTAAGACTTAGAGTTTCAAGTTTGACTTTATTAGAAGTGGGGTGTGTGTGTGTGTGTGTGTGTCTTTGTGTGTGTGTGTGTGTGTGTGTGTGTGTGTGTGTGTGTGTGTGAGAGAGAGAGAGAGAGAGAGAGAGAGAGAGAGAGAGAGAGAATCTGTTTTATCTTCTAGCTTTTTAAATTTATTAACCTGGATTCCCGCAAAAAGGGTATTGTGTTTTCTTATACACATCAATAAATATACAAATGGGAAGGTAAATTAATATTTTTAACTGTCATTCTAAATCTGCTCTGAATTCTGAGTACTAAATGTCTTAAAAACAGAATGTTCTCTGTTGAGTCAGTAAATGACAGGATAGATTAAGAGGTTACATTTTTTATTTTATATACAGAGCTTATCACTGAAAAGTTTTCTATTGATCACTGAGGGCATCAGAAATAGAATGGCCACAAATTTATTGTATAAAATAATTACATCTTATCAGTGGCAAGATTTTAAAAAGTTCACGGGCATACACAAGGCTGAGAATCCTCTCAAAAAGAGGATGGTTTTATAAGTCCTTATTGAGAGTTCCACAAATCATAGGTTCTGGTCTCATGCTCAGATTTGTCCTTATTTGGTGGTGCCTTTCATTTTTCTTCCTATAATCCACATCTGTAGTGTGACAGACACACTGGTGCTGCTTTCCAGATCTTTTTATAGGGGTGGGTGAGCAAAGTAAATGAGAATGTTTATGCCTATTGTAGCTGTGATCTTCTTTATGAATAAACTACTTGTGCTGATGTTTCTTTCTCAAAAAAGAATTGAAAAAGAAAACTGAATTTTTTTAACAACAGATTTAATGATCACTTTTATAAATTGATTTTTTTGAGAGAAAGAGAAACATTGATTTGTTGTTCCGCTTATTTATGCATTCATTGGTTGATTCTTGTTTGTACCCTGATCTAGGGACCAAACCTGCAACCTTGGTGCATCGGAATAGTGTTCCAGCCAACTGAGCAACCTGGCTAGGGCTAATAATCACATCTTAAATATCAGCAATATCATCTCTTTTTTTAAAAGTTTGTTTTTTTCAGTTAGAATCCTGATAACTCCTTTCATTTAATACAATAGAATTTTTTTTAATTTCTAAACCAGGGGTGGGCAAACTTTTTGACTCGAGGGCCACAATGGGTTCTTAAACTGGACCAGAGGGCCGGAACAAAAGCATGGATGGAGTGTTTGTGTGAACTAATATAAATTCAAAGTAAACATCATTACAAAAAAGGGTTCGGTTTTTTTTTTTTTTAGTTTTATTCATTTCAAACGGGCCGGATCCGGCCCGCGGGCCGTAGTTTGCCCACGGCTGTTCTAAACAAATTTTTCTCTCCTATGTACCATTAACTTCCATCATTATAAGACAGGACCAAAAGAAGTTAAGGAACAATATAATGTTTCCAGTGATACTATATAATAACAGTTACTATCATTAAAAAGTAATACAAATTTTAGACATTTAAGAAAGAAAAAAAAGAAAAAAATATACTTATAATCTCACTATCTATATACAGGCAGTCCTTGGGTTACGTCAGACTCGATGTACATCGTTTCATGGTTATGTCGCCATCTCCCATTTATTTATTTAAAAAAAAGTTCCGTCATTTTGACGTATGTACATATGTGCTTTATGTTTTTTATTATTTATTTACCACAAGTAAAGGTCAGGAATTGTTCTTTCTTTCAATTATTTTTTACTGTTTCACTTCATTTCTGCTGTGTATGTGCTCCATGTGAGTGATGTAGGTGCTTATGTAGGTGGGTTCCGATTTATGGCGAAAATTGCATTACATCATGCCATAGGAATGGATCTCTCTCTGACATAACCCGAGGACCTACTGTATATAAAAGCCTAAGCGACCATTACAACCAAATGACTGGTCGACCAGTGTTATGACGCGCACTGACCACCAGGGAACAGACGCTTAACACAGGAGCTGCCCCCTGGTGGTCAGTGCACTCCCACAGCCAACCTCCTGTGGCTCCTCACTTCCCACACCAGCCAGCCAACCTGCCACGGCCCCTCCCCCCGGCCGACCAACCTCCCGCGGTCCCTCCCCCTAGCTGGCCAGCCCCCCAACCAGACGGCCAACCTCCTGTGGTGCCTGCCCTCTGCCGGCTGTCCCCCTCCCCCCAATAGGCCTCGATCGCTGGCCAGGCCGAAGGACCCCACCTGTGCACAAATTCATGCACCGGGCCTCTAGTACTAAAATATCTACTTTCAGCATTGTGATATTATTCCTCCAAGTCTTTTTTCATGTTTATGTTTGTATTACAGAGCTGTTATCTTTCTAAACTGAAAATTTTGCATCTCACTTTTTTATTCAATATTTTATTACAAGCATTTTCAGTGTTACTTTATAATCTCAAAGCTTATCCATTTTAAGAGCTATGTAATAATCCATTGATTGTATCATAATTTACATTATATTTTAATGTTAGAAAGTTACTTTTTAAATATTTAGTAATGCAAACATTCACTGTAAATTTAGTTGAGAAGTTTAGTACAAATGGTCTTAATTATTTATCACAATATAGTCATAGAAACTAGTTGTAAAAAAGATTGTCATTTATAAAATATTTCAGCAGGGTGAGGTTATAATTGTCTTAACTGTATACCTCTAAAATCACCTAGAAAACTTCCAGTCCAAAAAAATAGGTATAAATACATTGTACTCATTGCTTGCATAAGGGATCCATGTAAGTACATATGTAGCACACAAAAATCTCTATTGCATCATGAATTTATTATATTTTAGCCTATAATAGAGTTAAATATTTTCTTACACTTTAGAAGGTCCTTAAGCAATAAATTTAGATACCTTAAGTCTTCTTTAAAACAAAACAAGAAAAAAGTAATTAAGTTTATACCGATATCTACTTTCTTCCTTAAATTATCCTATAGAAAAAGAGTAACCATTTAAAATTACTGAATTGGCTTTAGACCTGGATTCAGAGATAGCCTTACTTTTTAAAAAATAATATATTTTCATTGATTTCAGAGAGGAAGGGGAGGGAGAGAGACATAGAAACATCAATGAAGAGAGAGAATTCATTGATCGGCTGCCTCCTGCACGCCCCCACTGAGGATGGAACAGGCAACCTGAGAATGTGCCCTGAGCAGGAACTGAATCATGAGCTCTTAGTTCATAGGTCAAAGTTCAACCAGTAAGCCACAGGCCAGGCTTACTTTTTTTTTTTAAATAGCTGGTGTTTTTTGCCTCTCCCATTAGGAGGGGCTGGTCTAGGACACAGGTTGAACTATTTAGTGAGTTTAAGACAAAAAGTGAATGTAGCTTTCCTAAAGGGAGTGACCCGTTGCAAAGCAACATTATCATTTGTCTCCCTTGATGATAATCTTAGAACTGAGAGCAGTTTGTTTGACCTTAATAAACTAGTTAATCAATTTTAGGTTTAACAGTCTCTCTCTCTTTTTTTTTTTACTCCCAAGTATTAAACAAATATACTTTTTTCCCCATTTTTGAATAGTCCTAGAAATGTTATAATCTAAGTGTATTATTTCTGGAAGATTGGTGCTGTACAGTACATTTAGTTTGTCACAGAACCCACCTGTAGAGTCCTTATCGGTGCAGATAATCTCATTTGCTGTATCATCACGTACACTTGTTCTACAGTTTTGCTTTTGGCTCCCATTGATGGTATTTATCCTGACTTTTTAGACTGTCAATGGTTTGTGTGATTCTTTCGTCATGTTTTCCTCCCTTTTCTTCTTGGGTTCTTGGTCTGCTCCCTTGCTGGGGGGCTTCTCAATGAGGTCTCTTCCCTTTCTTCTGCGTTCACCCAGAATTTTCTCGACACTGGTCTGTGGAAGTGGAGAATAGAATTTAAACACTTTTAGTTTCACCATCATTATTAATAACTTAGTTTTCACTTCAGTATCAGAAATTCTTTATTAACCTTTTAAAATGATTTTTTTTAAATACTCTACTGAATGAAAGATATCATTTATATAAAAATTTCTTGTATCATTTAGATTTCAAGTTGGTTCCAGTTTTCACTGTTAAACATGTGGTAATGGCCCTAGCCAGTTTGGCTTAGTGGATAGAGCATCGGCCTGCAGACCAAAAGGTCCTGGGTTCAATTCTGGTTAAGGGCCTGTATGTACCCTGGTTGCAGCTTCCTCGCCGGCTGGGCCCTGGTCAGGGCTAGTAGAGGAGGCAACCAATTGATGTGTTTCTCACACATCGATGTTTCTCTCTGTCTTTCCCTCTCTCTTCCACTCTCCCTAAAAATCAGTGGAAAAGTATCCTTGGGTGAGGATTTAACAACAAAAAGATGCGGCAATGTATATGTTGAATTGCAGTAAAATGCTTTTTTGAAGTTTGAAAAGTATGTTTGATAAATTCTTTTTTTAATATGATGGTGAATATCTTTGTCCATAAAACTTTATGACTTTTTCTCATTATTTTTTTTAGTATATTTGTATTACTGATTTCAGAGAAGAAGGAAAAGGGAGTGTGCGATAGAAACATCAGTGATGAGAGAGAATCATTGATCGGCTGCCTCCTGCATGCCGCACAGTGGGGATCGAGCTGCAATCTGGGCATGTGCCCTGACTGGGAATCCAACCATGACCTCCTGGTTCATAGGTTGATGCTCAAACAGAGCCACGCCATCTGGGCTTCATTATTTTCTAAAAAGAGCTCTCAGAAGTAGGTCTAAGAATATAAATGTTTTTAAAGCTTTTGTTTTATATTGTCAAAGTGCTTTTCAAAAGCATTCCTCCCACCTTATAGGGCCACCACTATGCACGGAAGTCCTATTTCTCCTTACCCAAGATCCATATGATTGTTTTTCTTTGTTTATTTGATAAATAAAGTATTATATCTCTTTGTTAATTTATTCTTTGGGACTACTAGTAAGGTTGAAGGTTTTTCCATTTAAGGGCATACCTCATTTTATTGCGCTTCACAGATGTTACATTTTTTTACAAATTAAAGACAAGACCCTACACAGGCATAAAGATTATGACTCACTTTATTAAAATATCCCTTTATTATCTGGAACTGAACCCGCACTATCTTTTAGTATTTGTATTTGTAACCATTCTTTTGCAAATTGTTTATAGTCTATTCTCATTTACCTATTCAGATATTAGAGTTAATTACTTAAGGATAAATAATAAAATTGATAGCCATTTCAAATAAGACTACAAATGAAAAAAGTAGATGTTAACTCCATTAAAAAGATAAAATGGAAAGTAAGCTTCAGAAAGATAGATGAGAATATTTCAGAAATAAAATGCAAATATATTCATATATTTGAGACATAGAATAATAAAAAACGAATTGGACTGAAATTCTTTAGTGTTAGAGTTATATCTTATTCTGTCACTAGCTGACTTCTAGTAAGACATATAGCTAAATATTTAACTTGTCTTATTTGTAAAGGAAAATACTTTTATCCCCTAATTACCCAGGGTGGGAGGCAGTAGTGGTAATGGTGATGGTAGCTATAAAGATTTTACCACAGAGAATGGAAAAGGAGGAGAGTGTAAGTTCCTTTTCTCAGAAACAAGACTATGGCCAGATGAGTTGGGGATTGGTGTTTACACAGCTAACACAGGAAGGACCAGGGATTGCCTTTCCCTCTGCCTCCTACTTCATCCCTGCAAACATAGCGCAATGCCATTTATATAGACATAAATTTCCTTCAAGACACTCTAAATACGTTTTTATGATTGAGATGGGGATTTTTAAATTTAGGGTATGTTTAAATTTTATATAAGCCTTATCTAGTCTCATTTTTAAAAATACATCATTTACAGAACACTGTTCTGTACATCAAAGAGATGAAAGATAAAATAACTCATGGAATTTGAACCTGTGCTTTCACAGATTCTATTCTGTAGCTGCTTTTCTGCCATCAAGCTCTCTCCTCCAGATAAGAACAAATTTTAAATACTGAAAAAAATATGCAAATGAGCTAATAGCCAGATGGTTGGTTCTATACTAAGCATATCATGAGGGTAAGGTGGGCACTTACATCCTTAGCTTGTTTGAAAAGTATGTTTGATAACAAATCTTTGTTCTTTTTAATCTTTAGCTGGGAAATTTTAAATGTTAACTATAGTCACTAAGATGTGCCCATAAAAAAAAAAAAAAACAGGCTGGCCCAGCTGGGGTGGCTCAGTGGTTGAGCATTGACCTATGAACCAGGAGGTCACGGTTCGATTCCCAGTCAGAGCACATTCCTGGGTTGGGGACTCGATCCCCAGTGTGGGGTGTGTAGGAGGCAGCCTATCAAGGATTCTCTCTCATCATTGATGTTTCTATCTCACTCTCCCTCTCCCTTCCTCTCTGAAATCAATAAAGATATATATTTTTTTAAAATAGTCTGTTACTATTATGAATTCCATGATAGTTCACATGGGTTGTAAGCCATAGACTAATTAATGATCTAGCTCTCTTTTTTGAATATGCTAGATTATTATTAAAACTGATCTTACCAAACATTTATTATACTAGCACCCCTACTTGAAAATAACTGATTTGAGTTAATATAGACTTTTTCCCCTTAAGTTCCTATAAGCCACTGAGACCACATTTATATGTAGTCTTTTATTTGAACTCTGTTTCTAGTTGAAGGAGTGTATTCATATGCTAGCTGATATCCTTCTCTTACCAAGGAAATACAAGTAGTGATTTATAAAGTAGAAATATATTATTTTAAAACTGAGAAGGCAGACTATCTTTACTGAGATGGGATTTTCAAAATAAATAGCTAGATTTTATGTAGTTTGTCTTACCCTATTTTTAAATTATTCAGTAGTTTATATAATTTGATAAACTAAGCCATGTATTATCTGTTTACCAAAAAGAAAAAGAGTTTCTAAACTTCTGAGTATTTTTACTGATTTCAGAGAGAGGAAGGGACAGGGAGAGATAGAAACATCTATCGACTACCTTCTGCACGGGGATTGAGCCCAAAACCTGGGCATGTGCCCCAGCTGGGCATCAAACTGGTGCCAGGTGGTTGGTTCTATACTAAGTGCATGGGATGATGCTCAACCAACTGAACCATACAGGCCAGGTTGATATATGTATAATTTTAAGCTCTTCCAAAATTTAAGACTACAATTGGATATTTTGGATGAAAGGTACCTTAATAATAATATAATATCAATGTGCTAGCTTCATCCCATGAGATACTTCTTACTCTGCTGAAGTCATTCATGGTCCAGCCTGAGATTAATTGTTCTGAATAGAAACAAAACTCAGGAAAGAAGGATTGGTACTCTAAGTTAAGGAGAGTATTTTTGACATCTGGGGAAGAAAATGTGAAATGAGTATATTTGTATAGAATTAAAATGAATTGCAAATGGCAAAAAATGAAGTCAGTAATATCTACTTTTTTCCTTTCAGGTTATGCATTGGACCCTTCATTAGATAATCAAGTAACTACTAAATATATTGGTTCTGTAGAAGAAGCTGAAAAAAATCAAGGTAATTTATTTGAAGTTATTTATACCTATAATTACTGTCTGGCAGATTGACTTTAGACAATAGGAATAAAACTAGTATTTTATTCAGCTGTTGATTCTTCTTTTAAGTTGAGACAATAGTGTTGCAGTTTAGAACGATTACAGTTTTACAGCTTTGCCACTTACTAGGTATGCAACCTTGTAGGGAAGATAGTTGTACCTATTTTGGGAAGTTGTTCTGAGTATGTGGCACATTGCTAACCTCGTAGAAATTATTCAGTAAATTATAATTAATGCATAGCTGATTTTATCATTTTATTTCTCAACACTAATGTCAAGCTACATTTTAATAGCAGAAAAAATGTTATTGTGCTTGCCTGTGGAGATTATCTTTGAAGGGTTGCTTTGAATGTTGAGTTTTTGTTTTTTAATATATTTTCACTAGAGGCCCGATGCACGAAATTTGTGCAAAGGGCTTGGCCCCCGCCGCCACTGCGGCTGTGGCTGCCTCGGCCTCTGCCTCTGCCTCGGTGTGGCGGCCGGGGACCTCTGCCTCAGCCCCCGCTGCCACAGCTTCATCCGGAATATCCGGAATGTCGTCCGGAAGGATGTCTGGTCTAATTAGCATATTACACTTTTATTTTTATAGATTGATTTCAGAGGGGGAGAGGAAGAGGGAGAGAGAAACATCAGTTATGAGAGAGAATCATTGATTGGCTGCCTCCTGCATGCCCCAACACTGGGGATCGAGCCCACAACCCCAGCATGTGCCCTTGATCAGAATCGAACCCAGGTCCCTTCAGTCCAAAGACCGATGCTTTATCCACTGAGCCAAACCAGCTAGAGCTGAATGTTGAGTTTTTTAATGTATTTTAAAATACATATTTGTGCTCATTCATTTTGTGTTATTCTAAGGCAAAGTGTCATATTCTAAATGCTAATTTGAACAAAGCTCATCAGCTCATTGGAATCTTTTTCATAAAAGGCTCATTAAAAAACAGAATATAGCAAGATTAAATTGCCGAGTTTCTCTCAAAAAGTGGTAAAATCCGCTGATGTAGGTCTATGATTCATTAAAAGGATTGTGTCCATAGCTGGTCTTTTTTTACATATATTTAGAATTTGCAAATGTTACAGTGTTAGAAAATTTCTTTGCCCAGAACACTGAATCCCTTTTTGTATTACTTGACACATTTATATATTTGTATATCCGGCACATTTATATAGATTTTATTGTGTGTTTTTTAATAGGTTTTTGGTCACATGAATAATATAAAGTAAAATTATATATATGCTGCTATTTCTTTAGAAAAATCTATATTTGTGATGTCTATTTTTTTAAATATAGGTTTAACTGTGTTTGAAACTGGTCAGAAGAAAATAGAAAAGAGGAAAAAGTTCAAAGAAAATGATGCATCTAACATTGATGGTTTCCTGGGACCATGGGCAAAATATGTGGATGAAAAAGATGTAGCCAAACCTTCGGAAGTAAGCTTTGATGTTTTTCATTGTCAATTCAGGTGTATGCTATATTGCTATTAAACCTATATTAATAAATGAGGTTTCCTTAGAGAACCAAATGACTCATTAAAATTCTCTGCCTTGCTTAATTGAGAAAATACAGTAAGATTTGTTTTTCTTTAGAATATTTTTACTTACATTTTTTCTGACTTGCTGTCTTCCATACTGTTTTATTGTAATTTAATGAACAATTTTTAATAAAAATCACCTTGATAATGCTGCCATGGTAGCTGTTCTTCTGATCCTAGATATTCAGGTAGTAACTAAAGAATCAGCCTTTCTATAATTTTAGAATTGATGTAGGTTTTACTTATTTATTTAAAATTTTTAACTAAGTAACATATCTATATTGTGGTTTTTTTTTAATTCTACTATGAAGTAAAGCAATAGACCCCTACCCTGTTCCTCCCCACCTCCTAATTTCACTATGAGTCAATCACTGTTCTAGGTCTGAGGTATATAGCAGTGGACAGGATCAAGAAAATTCTATTCTCATGAAATTTTTATTCTAGCTGTATCTCACATCCAATAACATGTATATTGTTATATTAATATAACTCAATAACATACATATGCTACTATTTCTTTATTTTAGACTTCATCTGTCAACATCTTTGTTATTGTAGATAAAGATTTTCTACTACCCCATTTTCATTCCATAAAAGTTGTGTTACAAATCTACTGACACTGCTTATATTCTTATGACTATGTAACAACACTGTACACTAAAATTCAGCTTCCTGTCTGGTATTAGGCTTTCTAATTGCCTTATCCTTTCACTTACATAATTAACGTAATATGTTAAATTTATTTTTAGGTGTTCCAGGATGGGTTTTGTATAAAATGAGTTTAAAATCATTAACTAGTTCCCATTATGTGTTTAATATCATTTTGTAATCTGTTGAAGAGTTGAGATTGTTATCCTGGGAGACATACTTAAAGCTATTGATTCAGCAAAAAATGGACCTCATTATAAAGAATTTATAGCCGCCTTTGGCCATGATAGGGTCCTAGGACATCTATTTTAAAGTTGACTCCTTATTTTCCTTAGGAAGAACAAAAGGAATTGGATGAAATCACAGCAAAGAGGCAGAAAAAAGGCAAACTGGAAGAAGAGAAGCCTGGGGAGGAAAAGACCATCTTACATGGTAATATATTTTTTATGCTTCTTCATTTTTATGATAAACTTTCAGATATTCCCTCTGTTCTTTGTTCATATAATATCCATTGCCCTTATTAATCAGCTGCTACATTCATTATATTAAGAATTATATTGGATATTTTGTATCCCCCCAAATTTACATTTTTTATGTTCTAATAGATGATAAGAAATAGCATGATTAATGATAGTCACAGATAATTTTTTTAGTGCTGATGAGTTTTAAAAATGATAAATAAGAAATCTGAATGGTCTAACATGTTTTTTCTTAAGATAAAGTTGACTCTCTTTAGTAGTGCTTCAGTCATTTTATTTTAACCTTTTGTTTTTAACCCAAATCAAATATTCTTCAGGTCCACTCACAGCTACTAAATTATACTTAAAAAGAATAAACTCTGTTTTCATGTGAACAGATTGGAGATTAAGATTCTTATACTCATTTTGATTTGTGGGAGGAAATGCATATACACCAAAATAAATTATAAATATTCTAGAAAGTACCTGGTTCATTAATAATTAGTTATATTTTTTAAAGTATGTAGTGGTTTTCTGAAACTGGAAAGAATAATTTAGTACTGATAGTATTGATTATTCTAATGTTATATCACATGTCAATATTTAGGTTTGATAAAGCCTTATTTGGTTTCTCAAGTTCCAGTTTTTATCCCCAAGGAGTTCATTTAGCACTATGGTCCTGCAGCCACAATAACAATAACAGCCAACGTTTATTTAGTACTTACTCTGTGCCAGGCATGCTACCAAATGCTTTATTTACACTATGTCTTTTAATTCCCACAAGTTAATTTATTGTAAAGTCTGTGTTGAAAGTAGAAAAGAGAATAGAAAAGGAACCTAGAAGGACATAAGAGAGGAAAGCAGGGAAAAATGATAGCTGGTATTATTTTTGTTTGTTTTAACTTCCTTCTTACCCTGCTTTGCTTCTGATTCTTTGTCAGTGACTCACATGGCCCAAGTATTATTTTTCCTTACCTCGCTGTAATCATACTGAATAAAGTCTTTATATATATATATATATTACTAAATCTGTAACTGAATAAAACAAGTATTGATCTTACTTCTTCTCTGGGTATTTAGGAATTCCAAAATACTACCTCTAATTATAAATAACAGCAATGATTTCAGGTAGCTAAATTTTAGCTAGTCTTGGTCTTACATCAGAGTATTATTATCTAAACCTTAAAGTGGAATAATATCTTTATAAATAAAATGGTCGTTATCATTTTAAGGATATAGATTTCATGCTATGGCTTGTATTTGTTCATTGCTTTCCTTTGCCTTCTTATTTCAGTTAAAGAAATGTATGACTATCAAGGCAGGTCCTATCTTCACATACCTCAGGATGTTGGTGTTAATCTGCGGTCATCTGTGCCACCTGAGAAGTGTTATCTCCCCAAAAAACAAATTCATGTGTGGTCCGGACACACAAAGGTAAGCAAATTGGTTGTTTTTGTTTCTTGTATAATAGTGAAGCCAAAATAAAGTTTCAGCTATTGATGTGGAATATTCACTATTTCTGGTAAAGATGTAGGGAAGTCAAAATAGAGCAGGGAAGTCAAATTGAAGAGAAATCTAAGTTAGGCTTTGGAGGTACCCACATGTATCTGTCACAAGTGATGACTCAATCTTCAAGGTCATCTGGATTGGCCATGACATAAGAATTTGTGATTCGGTGTCCTATCCCCTTATGATAGCCCTGGACTTTCCCTCCAAGTTCCTGACACAATTTGCTTCCTCTTGGGCACCAAGTCAGTGAGTGATGGGCTTGTACTAGCACCAGAGCTGCAGTCCTTTTGCTTTAGCTCTTGAGTTTATCACCCTTCAAAGAAGATTAGATGTTCTCTAGTTTATAAACTATGATAATATTTAAACTAATGAAGAGACAAGTTACTTAAAAACTTTAAATGTTGATAATCTTTGTCATCTGTGCTATTCCAAGTACCAATTTATGGCTGTTAGCAAAGAGCAAAGTTACTGAGTGAAAGAAGGGAGAGGAGTGGGGGCATTAGCACTTGATTGACTAAGAATTCCTTGGGGTGAGGAAGTCAATATTGAAGATTAAAAAACAAATCTTTAGAAGTTTAGTGTCAGTAAGGGCTGCTCTTGGAATACTAATGAAGCTTATTCTGGGTGTATAATTTTTGGAATGAAGAAAAATAGTAAGTTAAGTTGCTTAAAAATATACTGTCCTTTCCTTGTGTAATTTTAGCTGATTTTAGAATGCTTCTGATTGATAACTGTAATACCTTTTCGTAGGGTGTCAGTGCTGTCAGATTGTTTCCTCTCTCGGGCCATTTATTGCTGTCTTGTTCCATGGACTGTAAAATTAAGGTGAGTTTTCAGTAAGAGAGTAGGAGTGCTACAAAACTAGTGCTTTGGTTAAATCTTTTTGGTTAATTATAAATAAATTTGGATTTGTTAGGCAATCAGAGGCTAATTATTTTCTCTTAGGCCCTATGAATGCAGCAGTTTATGAACTGCTTCCAAACATGTTGATTCAGATATGGCTCTGTGGTCCAGTTGGCTAGGCTCTTTTTTAAGCTTAGATAACTGATTAGAATGTAATCAATTACTTTGGCTTTAGGCACATAAATGCTTAATCATTAACAATGCATTTTTATAGAGATTTTTGTATATGTAACGGAGTTCATTTGTTCCTCAGAACCTTATGAGGTAAAAAGGATACAAGATAGAAATCCTATTTCTAAAGAGTAAATAATGTGATTCATCTTTTTTGTTATCAGTGCTAGTAGACACCAAGTAGCAGGAATGCTCCTAGACTCTTCTCCCATTTTTGTGTAAAATCTCTGTGCTATTTTATTTATTTATTTAATGTGTGTGTGTGTGTGTGTGTATTATATATATCATTGATTTTTAGAGAGAGAAGGGTAGAGGAATAGACAGACAGAAACATCGATGAGAGAGAAACATCATCGATTAGCTGCCTCCTGCATGCCCCCTACTGGGGATCGAGCCCACTTGTGCCCCAACTGGGAATTGAACTGTTGACCTTTTAGTTCCTGGGTCCACGCTCAACCACTGAGCCACCTTGGCCAGGCTCCTCCCACTTTTTATAGTCTTGGAAAACTTCATTTTACGCCCATGTTCTGCTATAGAATATGTGGGAGGAAAAACTCAGTTGCCAGTGCCTGTCAACTTGAGTATAGGAGAGTCTTTTTCAAAATCTTTAATAGAATAGTTTTTATCTCTTTTGTGTCTTGTTTGTCTGGTTCGTTATGATGGTCAAAAATATCAACCCTGTAGTGTTCTTGGGACTTGGAAAGTTTTTGTTTTGTTATGTTATTTTTAATTTTTATTACTTGATTCCAGAGAGAGGAGGGAAGGGAGAGGGAGAGAGAAACATCAATTGTTTTGTTCCACTTATTTATGCATTAATTGGTTGCTTCTTGTATGTGCCCTGACCAGAGATTGAATCCACAATGTTGGCATGTCAGGATGACACTCTAACCAACTGAGCTACAATATCTATAAAGGGTGATTTATTTATTTATTTATTTATTTTTTTTTTTAATGAGAGCAACCATTTTGGCATTTGTCTTTACTTGAGAGCTTAAAATAACATGTCAACAGTTTGAAGTAAAAAACCCTTATTTCCTTTAACTTTTACTTCTTAAAAACTATGTTAATTAAGATGAAAGTTTTCTCTTTTACCAATTAAAACAGCATAGAATACAATTTCTATCACTTCTATAAACGTTAATTAGACACCTGTTATGTGCAAGAGGCTGAGGATAAAAAGTTATTAAGGCACTGTCTCTGCCCTTAGGATGAAAATTTCATTATGATTTTAATGATCAGATAAAAAGCGTTCTGGTTTCAAAGAGGAAGCATTCCTCAATAGGAAGGTAACTAGGTAAAGAGGGAGAGGGGGTAGGGCATAGACTATGTCTGAGAAGAGTGAATAGAATGAATCAGCATGGTGTGCACTGTAAACTGCAGTTTCATGGTTGCTGGAGCCTAAAATCTGAGAGACACAGAATGACTACTCAGTCATAAGTAAAGGACCAGGGCCTGGAGGTCCTTGCCTGGTATGCTACGGACACTGAGACTTTATCCTCTTGGCCCTTAGTGGCCAGGAAGTGCCTTCTATTTTAGAGGACTAGCAACACTGTTGAGAATTGCATTTGATGCAGGCAAGAATAAAGGTACTTTGAAGCTATTGCATAAATTCACTTTAGATGTGATGAGAATTATGAGCCTGTTACCTTTTAGTCTGGATCATCATTTTCATAATACAGCTTCATAATACAGCTTCTATAATACTTGCTACTTCGGGAAAGTTCAAAAAAAGCCTTTCAATACCAAAATGTTATAGACATGACAGTTTTAATAACACTTAAATATTTTAAAAGTAGTTCATGGTATTACATCAGTAGAAACTTTTTTCTCATACTGAATACAGAAAAGAACAAGAAGAAAACAAAAATCACCTGCATCAGCTTCATCTAATTTCTGGTGATATTTTGATGTATCTTTCAGTATCTGATTTCAGAGTTTAGTTTTAAAATGTATGTGTGTGTGAGTGTGAGTCCATGAGTCCAAACAATGCAACACAGACTGGAAGCACCAAGCAATGTATTTAATGATATATAATGCCTTTGGTTAAATCCCTTGTACACACACACAGATATGCACACATATAGCCAGCATATGACTGTTGTTACTGATTGAAAATTGTCGATTTATCAGTCTAGTATTAAATTTAATATTTATTTGTGTTGTTTTTTCCCCCCAGCTATGGGAGGTTTATGGAGACAGGCGCTGTCTGCGAACATTTATTGGTAATACTTCTTTTCTCCCTGACTATAAATCTGTTTGGGAAAACTTTTAACTTTTTATCATCATTTACCATAATTTTACTGGCCTAATATGAATGAAAATCTTCACAGACTTGAACTGAGTCCTGAGGAGGGAGTAAGTCCTCTCAGACAGAGAAAGAAAGGGAACTAGGAAGAGTGAGCAGCAGAAGTAAAAGTGTCAGAAAGCATGCTGCTTTGGGGGAACCACGTATATTTCAGAATTGCCAGGGTGTGGGACGATATGGTGAAAAATGAAAGAGAAAAGCAGCTGAGGAGGGAGCAGAGTATGGAGGACCAGGTGTACTATTAATAAGGAGTTTAGACGCTGTCCTGAGGGCTCTGAGAAGCCAGACATTAAACAGCTCTTGCAAGAAAGCAACATGATCAGGTTTGAAGCTTACAAAGATCACATTGGCAACATGGAGGATGCTTTGATGGAGCAGGCCTGGAGGCAGGGAAATGAATTACAAGGTTATTTCATTAGTTTGGATTAGAGATGGTGAGAGCCTGAATTAAAGCAGCAGAGAGAGAGAGGAAAGAATCAAAAGTTAAAATCAGTGGAAGTTAGTAATTGGATGTGAGTGATGAGTAAGGCAGGAATCTAAGGTGACTCTCAGATGACACCAGGACGAATGCTGGTGTCATTCACCAAGAGAGGAAACAGAAGATGATGCTGAGATTTTGGACTCATTGAATTTTAGCTGCCCTTGGGGTTTTGAAATGAAAATGTCTAGTAAGCAATTAGATGCCCAGATGTTAAGATTTGAAGAGAGGTTAGGAATTGGATCTAAACGCACAGAAAAGGATGAGGTTGAGAGAACTCCTTGAAGCAACAAAGAGGGCCAAAGAGAGGACAGCTTTGTGGCAGTCTAGCCTTTTTGATAGAGAATAGTTTATTGTCTTTGTCAGATGTTGTGTGAAGACTAGTTATGTTTCCAAATTTAACTGTATTGCATTGAAACACTATTTGTGTGAATTTTAGTGGCTCTGTTTTTAGATTGAAGTAGGAGGTGTTCTGCAATGCTGTATGATTTTAGAGCCTCGCTGCACAAGTAAATACTGTCCAAGCTGTGTAGCAGCCTGAAGATTCATGGGAAGGCTCTCGGCAGCATACAGGGGAACAAAATGTCTCCTGCAGATGTAGTGGATTTGGTCCCCATTTGTCTCCCCTGCACTGGCAGACAGTTTTTCAGTGGGAAGCTGAAAATGTCCTGCTTAGGAAGATGGTAGCAGCTCTGACTGGGACTCCTTCTGGAGACAGGATACCTGATTGCCTAATTGCTGTGACACATAGTGCCTCGCTAGAGGTCATTGGTGGTGGTGGTTCAGAGCTGCTGTGTGTGCTTGCCCTGCACATTTTGCACTAATGTATTTGGCAGTCTTGGTCATGCTGGGTGGTAAAAAAATATGAAAGTTTCTGCTTTCATTTAGCCATATTTTATTTGTCCCTGTAACTGTCAAAAGAATTGATTGGTCTGGCAAGAATGATTTCCAAACAAAGTACCGTAAAATTAATTTATTGTCAACATGCAATCTTAAAACAAAAAAAAAGTTAATATTTGTTTTCAAAAAGGCTTAGTGTCAGATTCTGAATCCATTTCTATGAAATTTGGTAATGTGATCACACAAATATGCAGTTATTGAATAAGGGCTACATTTTCATGAACTTGAGGTTTAGGTCACTGTGTTTTTACTTCCAGGTTAGTGAGTAATCAGAGTGAACCTCCAAAATGTCACCAGTCATTTCTCCTTCATTGGCGATAATTGGCCTATTGTGTTTCCTTAAATTCTTAGCTGTTTAGTCATCAGTTATATATATTACATGTAATGAAGTTGCCATGACAGACTTTAAAAAAAAAACAACTTAGAGCTTTTCTCTTGGTTTTTACCTAAATGTTATGCATCAGAATCACCTGAGGAACTTTTTGAAGGGGGAACCACCTACATTCCCAAGCCCACATAAAACCTATTCCGAGTTAGTAAATCAGGGGATGGGGTTTCAGTGATTTTTTTTTTTTTTCCTCACAGATGGCTTGGAAAACACTGTTTAATGCTATTTTTCTTATGGTGTTTATGTTTTAAATAAAGATACTTCACCTCACCTATATTTCTATTGTCTCTGCCTTTAGGTCACAGTAAAGCTGTTAGGGACATCTGCTTTAATACTGCAGGAACACAGTTCCTCAGTGCAGCTTACGACAGGTATCTTAAGCTCTGGGACACTGAGACAGGTAAGAGCTCACTTATACTAATAGATACTTAAATTATAAATTAGCATTTTGGGGGAGGTTTTTTTTTTTTCTAAATATATTTTTATTGATTTCAGAGAGGTAGGGAGAGGGAGAGAGAGATAGAAACATCAATGATGAGGGAGAATCATTGATCAGCTGCCCCCTGCGCACCCTACACTGGGGATCGGGCCCACAACCCAGGTATATGCCCTGATCGGGAATCGAACTGTGACTTTCTGGTTCACAGGTCGACACTCAACCACCGAGCCACGCTGGCTGGGCTAAATTAGCATTTTAAAATGAAATGTGTGTGGTGGTCTGTGGCAAAATGGTACCTTCTCTAACTGCTACTTCTCCTATCATTGACTATCAGCTTATGTCACTTTGTAGAGTTGAAGCTCAGCTGAATAAATAGCTCTTTCACTATGAAGCTTTGTTTCCACCAAATGCAATTTATAAAGCAAACATATTGATAGACAAAGATGTTTGAAATCTTTCATTGACTATTTAATTGATCTTTTTGTTGCCCTATATCACCTAACACACGGCCTTGCACATAATAGAAGCACAGTAGATATCTGATGAACAGAATTAAATTTAACCGCCCAAATTGATTAAAATGTAGGTCTAAACTCCCATGGTCCATCCAGTTGGTTGTATATATTCACAGACATGAATTGCATCAGTACATTGTGGCTAGTAAAAGTTTGTGTAATTAAAGAACCATCTTTCAATCTTGCTGGGTTTTAAGGATAAAGATAATGCTAACATTTATTGAACACTTTGTGTTCACCAAGCATTATGCTAAGTGCTTTTATTCAGTATCTCATTCAATCCTTAAAATATCCCTGTGAGATAAGTACTATTATTGTTATAGAGGAGAAAACAGGCTTAACATCTTCAGGGTCACACAGCTAATAAGTAGCCAAATTGTATTCATACGAAGGTCTCTCTAATGTCAGAGCCCTTATTCTTAACCTCTTTAGCAGTGGTCCTCAACTCTGACTGAACATCATAATCACCTGGAGACTTTTATCTATTCTGCAATTGTTGATACAGATTTACTTTTGAAAAACGTATTTTTAATCATTAAAAATCCGTGAGAAGGAATGATGTGGTTTCTAATAAAGAACAATCAGGTTGCCTTTCCTCAGAATTTATTAAGCAAATAATCTTTAGATCTTAATCCCAGGGTTATCTTTAAGTGGACAAATTTATTTTGCCTATTTTAACTTGGGTCTTCGGTTTTAGGACAGTGTATATCAAGATTTACTAACCGAAAAGTACCCTATTGTGTCAAGTTTAATCCTGATGAAGATAAACAAAATCTCTTTGTGGCTGGGATGTCTGATAAAAAGATTGTGCAAGTAAGTCTTTCCACAGTATTATTATTAAGATTCCTGAGGTTTATGTTGTCTCTGGGGATGGAATAAGGAACATTAACTTGTTTAATGTTGGCTACTTTTAGGGCCTGCTGATGCTCTTCTTAGTAGAAAATAGTAAATTCATAAGAACATGATGTTGGAAATCTTTTTATTTCTCCACTTTCCATAATTATGATCTTTCTTTGTTTTCATAAATCTGCTCCACTTCCGTCTTTACCTCTTCTCGTTTATACAGTGGGACATTCGAAGTGGAGAAATTGTGCAGGAATATGATCGGCATTTGGGAGCTGTCAACACCATTGTTTTTGTTGATGAGAATAGGAGATTTGTGAGCACATCTGATGATAAAAGCCTTAGAGTTTGGGAATGGTGAGTTTCAATCAGTAGAAAATCTGATATATAAAAGAAGCAATTTAAAAATTTGTGGGCAAAGACGAGCCCTGATAATATGTAGCCATTTGAATATTTTTCAAAGGTGAGTTCTGGCTTGCCAGTCAAACTGTTATAACTATTTAAGTATCCAGAATATCGAAATAAAAATTTAAACATGATACTTTTCATAGTCTTTGGATAATCTATCTAAAGGATATATATATTGAGTCACTTTTCTGGCAGCAGTGAAAAGTTTTTATAGTGCAGTCTTATATCCTTTATTAGCTGTCTTATTCATCTTTGCAAAATGACTAATGAGAAGTAGGCGCCACAAATGTGTAGACTATGCCAGTTTGAGCGTAAGATCCTGGCCTCAGAACCAATCCAAATTAAAAAATCTCAAATTTTTAATGTCTGCATTTTGACTATTTAATACTGAAAATTGCCTGTCATCTCCCTTGTTTCCTGCCTGCCATTTATAGTCCATATGGTAGAAAACAGTGTTTTTATCTGTAATCAGAATATACAGGTTGGGACAAAAGTAGGTTTACAGTTGTTTGTATGGAAAATAATGCAATAGTTTATAAATAATAATACAAGAATAAACTCTGTTTTTCACGTACTGACAACCTACTTTTGCCCCACCCTGTATTGGTAAATTTTGCTTTCCTAGAGAGAGAAAGGAAAAAACACTTTTCTAAAATCAAGAAATACTAAAAGCTAATTTCACTAAGTGTCATAGATCATGTTTTATAATTATTTCCAAAGAAATGCATAATAAGCTTTTTAAAATTAATGTTTGAATGGAACCCAGCTTGTTTTTCTAGTCAGCTATGAAGCACAGCTTAACTGTGGTTCCCTACAGCCTTGCAAGGAGTATGTCTTCCCACCCCCAGAAGTTGTTCTGCTTTAAGAAGTGGGAAGCCTTGAACTGCAGCTAGGAGTTTCCCTCTGAAACTAAGTCCCTTCAGGGAGCTGAGCAGGTCCCTAACCATTGTCAGAGCAATTTGGGTAATTGAAAATTTAATGTAATTTAACCGCAGTTTCTCCCACACTCACCACCAGTACACCCCCTCCAAATGACCTCCCATAAAGGGAGAGTTAGCATCATCCTTAGTGCCCATGATTTGAGACTATAACTAAGCTCTTTCTTACTTTAGAAGTGATATTACCTGCAGAAAATCTGATAATGGACACCAAGTTTTATATGAGTCACCTTAGACCGGTGGTTCTCAACCTTCCTAATGCCGCAACCCTTTAATACAGTTCCTCATGTTGTGGTGACCCCCAACCATAAAATTATTTTCGTTGCTACTTCATAACTGTAATTTTGCTACTGTTATGAATCGTAATGTAAATATCTGAATGTAATATAAATAAATGTAAATGCAGGATGTATTTTCATTGTTACAAATTGAACATAATTAAAGCATAGTGATTAATCACAAAAGCAATATGTAATTATATATGTGTTTTCCGATGGTCTTAGGCGCCCCCTGTGAAAGGGTCGTTCGCCCCCCAAAGGGGTCGCAACCCACAGGTTGAGAACCACTCCCTTAGACCATTTGCACAATACTCTGGAGAATAAACATCGATAAACTTGTTTTGTTTTGTTAATAGACTTTAACAATTTAATTATACTTACACTTTCAGATGTTTCTATCTTCAGGTAATAGTTCAGCTCCATTTTAAAAATGTACAGTGATACAAAAAAATTGGTAAATATTTAAATGATGCCACAGTCACAAGGCTTTAAGAACATTTGTGTTCTTTTCTAAAGAAGAGCATTGGTCACAAAATATTTTGATTAAGTTAAGTGGTGATGTTAACAAGACTTTATTTTTTTTCTTCTCAGAGCTTAAGAAATACTCCTAGAGTCATAATACTATTTGATTATAAATGATGGCATTCTTTAGATTTCAGTTGAATGCTCACTGCTATTGGAGCCTCCCTAACCAGTCCTCACATGAGTTTGGTGCCTGTTCACCATCATCGCAGTAACCCTTTGCTTTCCATAGCTTACTTGTTCCTCTTCCCTGAGCAAGTTCTTAACCATGAGAAAAGACCTGTGTCTGCTCTCCATCTGTCCCCAGCACCAGCACAATGCCTGGCACGTAGTATGTACTGCATATCTAAGGAAATCGTTGTTGTCATAATCATTAATTATATTAAACTTATTGAGCCCTTTCTATGTGTCAGGCACACTAAACTTTCTGTGTCTGATCAAAATGATTCCAAAGCTTGAGGTCTTTTTTTTCAGCTTCACTGAGTTATAATTGACAAATAAAATTATATTTAAAGTGTATAATATAATGATTTGATATACATTGTGAAAGGATTCCCACTAAGTTAATTAACATATCCATCACCTCTTTATTTACCCTTTGTTGTTTGATGAGAACTTAGGTTCTACTGTCTCTGAAAATTTCAGTTACACAATACAGTATTGACTGTAGTCACCATGTTGTACACTAGATCCTCAGCCCTTAACTCATCTTACAGCTAAAAGTTTGTGCCCTATTCAGTTTGTAGCCTCAATTTTTTTTCCCAACCCCCCCTCTTCCCTAGCTCTTGGCAGCCACCATTCTACTCTCCACTTCTATGAGTTTGGCTTTTTTTTTAATATATATTTTATTGATTTTTACAGAGAGGAAGGGAGAGGGATAGAGAGTTAGAAACATCGATGAGAGAGAAACATCGATCAGCTGCCTCCTGCACACTCCCTACTGGGGATGTGCCCGCAACCAAGGTACATGCCCTTGACTGAAATCGAACCTGGGACCCTTCAGTCCGCAGGCTGACGCTCTATCCACTGAGCCAAACTGGTTAGGGCTAACTTTTGTTTTTTTAAGAATGCACATATAAGTGTTAGCATGTCTTCCTCTGTTCAGCTTATTTCAAATTAGCATAATGCCCTCCAGGTTCATCTATGTTGTCACAGATGGTGGGTTTCTTCTTTTTTAAGGTCGATAATCCTATATAATAAAAGCCTAATATGCTAAGTGTCCAGTCGAGTCAGCCATAGTCGGCCAGTCAGCCATTCAACCAATCAAAGTGTAATGTGCTAATGATATGCTAAGGCCACTCAGCCACTCACTATGACGTGCACTGACCACCAGGGGGAAGACAGTCAACCGGTGGACCAGTCGCTTTTATTATATAGGATTATAGTTTTTGGGTTAAATTCTATTTTATCTGATGTAAATATAGCTATCCCTGTTTTCTTTTGGTTTCCATTTGCATGGAATATCTTTATCCCTCCATTTTCAATCTATGTGTGAAATTGAAGTGAGTCTCTTGTAGGCAGCATATAGTTGGTTCTTGGTGTGTTTTGTTGTTGTTGTTGTTGTTTAATCCATTCAGCCACTATGTGTCTTTTGGAGAATTTAGTCCATTTACATTTAAAGTAATTATTCATAGATATGGACTTACTGTTGCCATTTTGTTAATTGTTTTCTGGTTAGTTTTATAGTTTCTTTGTTTCTTCCTCTCTTCCTTTGTCACTTGAAGATATTCTGTAGTAGTATGCTTTGATTCCTTTCTCTTTTATGTATGTATTACAGGTGTTTGCTTTGTGGATATGATAAGGCTTATATAAACATGCAGAACTTTAATTCATAATTATATGGATGGATAGTTAGGTGAATGTGACTCATCTGGTGGGAAGAGAGGATAACTTGTATCTAGATTCCATAGTCAGAAAGCATGCGAGGCTCAGTCTTGCTATAAAGACAAGCAGGGAACAAAACTACCTCAGGATCCCTCGAACTATCTTAATCACATATAGCCATACCCAAAATCAATTACTAGTAATATTAGCAGCATGCTTGGGAGAGAAAGGGAGGCCCTGACCACCTCAAAGTGTAGGAAAATTATTGGCTTTCAGACAAGTTCTGTTTGTTAAACTTTTACATCCGGTATCTGCTTAGAGTAGCACAATGATAAAGGAAAACAAATAAAAGGAAACTTGGTTTTCTTGAGCATTACTCTATAGTTTTAAAGAATAGGAGATTATTAGATATTGAGCAGCCTGTGATACTCTGGTTGGCTAAATTCATAAGATGTCATAGACATGTTTTCACCCAGTTGTTTTTATTTTGTTAAAATATTTTTAAGCCCTAGCCAGTTTTGCTCAGTGTATAGAGTGTCAACCTGAAGACTGAGGGTCGGTCCCAGGTTTGATTCCAGTCAAGGGCACGTACCTTGGTTGCAGGCTCGATCCCTGGCCCTGGTCTGGGCACATGTGGGAGGCAACCAATTGATGTGACTCTCACATCAATGTTTCTCTCTCTCTGTGTCTCTTCCTTTCCCTTCCAAAAAAAAAAAAAAAAGAAGAAAAAAGAAAGAAAGATATCCTCAGGTGAGGATTAACAACAACAACAACAACAAATATACATATATACATACATATATATATATTACACATACATATATGTATTTAAAAGAAAATTTAACAGAGGTTGATACTACTGGTTATCTTTTAGCTTTAAATTTTTATAGATTTTTGTAAGGGTTTTTCAGCGATTCATTTCCAGACTGAAGATCATTTGTAAGAGAGGTTATTAATTTATTATACTGAATTACAGTTTCCAATTAGAAAATAGTGTTGTGTTTATTAAATATAACTGTGCCTTGCAGGCATATTTTACAAGCGATAATGAAGTTCACAGGGTGTTCAGAATAATTTCTTGTTCTAGAGCTCATTATACCAAGAGTCCTTGGAATAAGGGATAAGTTGAAATTTTTTTGTTTGCTTTTAGTAAAACATGATTGATATGAATCTGGACTATGGCTCATTTAATTTAGAAAATTCACTTATGTTTTAACCCAAATTATATAATTATTAGCTACTAATAATAAAATGAGGAGGGAAAAACAGTTGGACCTTTTTCAAATTGAGGCTCTTTTCAATACATTTGAGTCATTCTGAATGTAATTGTCACTGGTACCTCAGATATGTAAAGTATTGACTTGATAAATGATACTGTTCCCCAGGTAATACCTTAAAATGTTTTCCTTTAACCAAGACCCTGATAGAATTTTTTTTTTAATCATTTGCTTCTTCTTCTAGATGGATAAATGGATAGAGAATGTCCTTACTTAAAGGCAAATTGTTGTTGTTGTTGTTGTTATCATTATTATTATTATTTTCCATTTAATTAAAGTCTTGGAACTTGAACCATAGTTTGAAATTTAAATTGCTGCTTTATATTCGGAGATAATATGAAATTACATTTCCCACACATTGTAAAAAACAAAACAAAAAAACATTGTCATGAAAAGCAACAAGACCAAAACCCTTCAGAATTAGTAAAGAATTTTTTATCATGGAGAATATTAAAAATAAAAAGGCACTTTGATGATTCTAAATTTAGGTGACTAGGTTTTGGATTCGTTTTGTTTTATCGTTTGTATCATTCACATGAGAATTTTTTAGTGCTATTTCTCCTGTACCATACACATTTGTAATATTTTACATATAAACTGAAAAATAGAAAGTGTCCAAGTACAAGCACTTAATCTTTTTCACCTGTCCTGAAATTCATCATTTTTGGAGGGGCTCAACCTGCTTGCAGATCCCTCTATAGCTTTGCTTACCCTCCATTTGCATTGCTGACAGCTCTTTAGCACTCTCACCAGCTTGCAGAGTAAAGTTAAGGTTGACTGACAGGTAAAATAAGAATGTTTCCCTGTAGCTTTGCCTCAGACATCTTGCTTCTGCCTACCATGACACATTTTTAGATGAGCTTATTATTAAAGAAGTTTTAGTAACAGATTTTTTTAACATAAAGGCCAAAGTTTAAATCAAATAGAGTTTAAAGATTAAATCATTGACACTGTTATAATTATCACAGAAAGTCATTTGTAAAGTAAAAGATTTATAATACACAATAGAATGTCATTTTGTGATTTTTCTCCTCCCAGAAAGTTTCATGAAAGGTTTATTAAATATATTTTTTCAAGAGTTCTTTCATATATTTCTTTGGTTCAGAGATAATTCTTCTAAAGGTACTTTTTAAAAATTACTTACTCTGATATGCTATTTTTAATATTTAGGGATATCCCTGTGGATTTCAAGTATATAGCAGAACCCAGTATGCACTCAATGCCTGCAGTGACTTTGTCTCCAAATGGTGAGTTAGAATGTGTTTTAAATGAGTTTCTAAGACATGGTGTGATTTCTCTTGAAAAGAACCTTGGCCATTCTCTCTGAGGGCAATTCTGTCACAGTGCCATACTGTATAAGGAAAATTTTCATTATTAGAAGTAATCATTGGTTTTCATATGAAGTCACTTCACCCAGTCTCTTGTTGTTTTTTTAATGTTTTTATTGATTTCAGAGAGAGAAAGGGAGAGAGAGAGGAGAGAGAAAGAAATAGAAACATTAATGATGAGAGAGAATCATTGATCGGCTGCCTCCTGCACACCCCCTGTTTGGGATTGAATCCCCAACCTGGGCATGTGCCCTGACCTGGAATCGAATCCTGACCTCCTGGTTCATGGGTTGATGCTCAACCACTGAGCCACACCAGCTGGGCTCTTGTTTTCCACAAGAAAAAAATAAATGAAACAATGATTTGCAACTAATGTTGACTAAGCATCTAAGTATTCCCATCTGAGAATCAGGTTTTTTAAAACAATTGTCCTTCCAACAGAATCATATTCTACAACTCATTTAGTGATTTATTATGAGTTCTTTTATTTTGGTCTGGTTCCTCACAATGAGACCATCTTAGCAATTCACTGTAAAATATTTTCTCAGGCAAAATAAAAAAGCTAAATCTGTTTAATACTGTTTTTGTTCAGTAATGCATTGCCTTTTAAGAGGAAGGTAATTTATGCTATAGATGTACTGACCTTTCAACAACAGTTACTGAGATTACTTTAATCATAACTTTTTTGGATATAGTCTTATTTATAATCCTGGGTTTTCTCATTTAAAGTTAATTTTTCCTTTCATTTTTGTAATCAACATAGAGAAGTCTCTTTCTCCCCATGATTCTATTGTCTATATTTAATACAGATTAATTTCATAAAATTTTACTTTATTTCTGTATAAACTCGGAATATCTGTATATCCTTATTTAAACAAAAAACGTTTTTGTAAGATGAATGTTCAATGACAGGATTATATGAGCAAATTTCATTATTTTATATACAAATACCTCTTGTCAGTGACAGATTTGTAACATTTTACACGTGGTATGGTAAATTTATTTTCCTATTATTATAAAATAGTTGGGAACAAAAGAATATGAGTGACTGAATATATTTAGAATGAAAATTCTTTAAAAATATTTTTTTCTCTAAAATGTCTTGTTTATTGAATTTGCAGGGAAATGGCTAGCATGCCAATCAATGGACAACCAAATCTTAATTTTTGGAGCACAGAACAGATTTAGATTAAATAAGAAGAAAATTTTTAAGGGCCATATGGTAGCAGGCTACGCTTGTCAGGTGGACTTTTCACCAGACATGAGGTAAGTTTAAATCTTCTCATGTATTTTTATATTCAAATATGATGTTATAAACTTCTGTTGTACAAATAATAACACTTTATATGTCACTCTCACATATGTAATTGTATGAGAACTATGCAAATTGTCAAAATGCCAGATAAAAGGGCAAGAACAAGTTATGAAAATTACCTTCTGCTTTTTTAAGTTCTTTCATATATCTCCTTATATTGCAGTGATGGTGAACCTTTTGAGCTCGGCGTGTCAGCATTTTGAAAAACCCTAACTTAACTCTGGTGCCGTGTCCCATATAGAAATTTTTTGATATTTGCAACCATAGTAAAACAAAGACTTATATTTTTGATATTTATTTTATATATTTAAATGCCATTTAACAAAGAAAAATCAACCAAAAAAATGAGTTTGCGTGTCACCTCTGACACGTGTGTCATAGGTTCGCCATCACTGTTATATTGTATAGTCCTGTGCCCTTTAACCACATAAAAGTCCCCGTCTATATAGGCAGTGCCATATTTTCTCTCTGCTTTTCTAAGCAAGGCTTGGAGGACTATAATGGCTATATTGCTGTGGTGGAATGAACACCAGAAGAATTAATCATGTATTGCATTGTTGAAGTTAACAACTTCACTACAGCTTTTCTGTGTTGAAATCTCAACCTAACTTCTGAATATTTCTAAGTCACACTAGATTTGTGAAGCCTAGAGTCTTTCTAAGTGAAACTCTGCATTCATGCCCCTATTCTTAGCTAAAACACATAGGTGTAACAGTAATTCAGAAATCCCTTTAGCCTGATGATTGGGCCTTAGAACTTCTGCCTCTAAGTCAGTCTTAGACATATTCAAAAGGCATTGGGACCAGGAAGTAATTATAAAGGTGCTAGAGAGTCTATTACAGCAGAAAGGGTCTGGATGTGTTCGGTGGCTCAGTGACATTGACTCCCCTACCCTGATTCTGACTGTGATACCGCATTCATCGTGGCCCTTGGGCATCTCAGTCTTCCAAGTTAAAAATTACTTTTTACTCTTAGATTGTTGCTCAATGGGGATGATTTTTTGGTAGAAGTTTACATTATAGACTTATAGACCTAGACCTTGTTCTTCTTACTAAGTTACATATGGTGAAAAAGGTAAACTCTTTCTCTGTTCTTCATCTACTTTACCAGTTTGAGGTGTCTGAATAATTTGAATTTATTTTTCTTCCCATTGTAGCTATGTGATTTCAGGAGATGGAAATGGAAAGTTGAACATCTGGGACTGGAAGACCACAAAACTCTACAGTCGGTTTAAAGCTCACGATAAAGTGTGTATTGGTGCAGTGTGGCATCCTCACGAAACATCTAAAGTCATCACCTGTGGCTGGGATGGTCTCATTAAGTTGTGGGATTGATGAGATTAATCCTTAACTATCTAGGATTGTTTTTGACCCAATAACCTATTTAACTATATTTAATTATTAAATGTGTTGGATGATAACTTGATTTACAGATTATCATTTCCTTACATGGCCTTATAAAGTTGACACATTGTTTGAAAAAGAACTTTGTAAATTTGACTCATATAATTTCATTGGCAACTTTATTTTGTTCTTTATAGATATTATTTATACAGAGAATGACCATCAGTTTTCTATTTGACAAATAGATCCTATTGGCAGGCAGTTTGGGCTCACCCCCAAGACATACAGAAAAGATCCCCTGGGAGTCGGGTAAGAATCCCTCGAGGATTGGGGGTTCTGAAGGCGGTAATATAGTTAATGACAACTCAGAAAGGTACCGTGTACTTATCTTAAACAAAAAGAAAGTAAGGAACAGGGATGATATAATTTAATGTGACTGAGAGAAGGATAAAACCACCCACAATTACTGTTTCTATTATTGCCAGTGGGTCAGGTTCTAATCTTTTGGATTGAGAAGTTCCACTATTTTTTATGACACATGTTGTGTATTTTTAGTTGAAAGCCAGCAATTTTCTCTGACTGCAGCATTCCTCTAATTATTAAACAGTGTAAAATACAAATCAGCCCAGAGTTCTTTCCTTGACTTTCTTCCTGACCAGTAAGTATATAAGAGAATTATGTTATTTTTGAAGATGAAACTCAAGAGAATGAGTCAGAACTTTGGACTTTACTTGTATTTACTGTCAGTAAGAACCTGGCTATTCTTTCATAAATCAGGGTCTCTTAGGCCATTGTTTCACAGATATTACTCTTGAAATATTTCTCATTGGATTTAGGGCAAAGATCAAAATACCAACTTGTAATTTCTTTGAAGAGTTGTATGTCTTATCTTTAAAATTATTATGATTTGGTTTGGGAATATATTCGACAGAACTTTTTTAAATCAATAAAGTTTTAAACATCTTTCTAAATCTTTGAGTAAAATTGACAACCAGGAAAATGGCTAGTGTTCCCCAGTTTGAGAAGCAGTGGCTGTGGTTGGGTTTAAAAATTTGAGATTGTGAAATTACGATAGCCTCTTGAATACAGTAGCTAATAGCACTTTAGTTGACAAACCATTTCTCCAGCTTTATTACAAATCTGTATCAGATGTTTGAATGTAGTTTGAAATGTTTCGTTACTATGCTAGGAAAGATTGGTTCATAGCTGCTCAGAGTGCTGACTGGGAGAGCAACATCATATTGAGTGATGATATCCTAAGGCCATTAGCTCAGAGTCATGTGCTATCAAAGCAGTTCATACTTCTTGTCCTTAAAAACATCCATTTTTAAAAATTAATATGAAAAAATAAAACTGGTATAGATGGCCATGTGCTGTAGCCACATATAAGTAAATGTCAAAGACGAAAATAGAAAAACGATAAAAGTGGTAGAGCCATAGTTTTGGACACAGAAGCACTCAGAGAGCAGAATACACTGCCAGCTGCTGCCCTTTCTGTACCTGCCAGGAAGGGTGGCCACCGTTCCTCAAGAAGAGAGAATTCAGACGAGACCTTTGCTTTAGTCCCAGCCACTGGGTTTCGCAAATGTGAATTAATCACATTTGATTAATAATAAAAGAATCGTATATTTAAACTACCTTGTTCAGCACCAGTATTGTGTATGTTACAAATCATTTCTAAATCTGGGTTTATTTTATTGTGTTTTTGACTGTTTCTAAACTAAGCAACTGTGTATAAAAGTTCTCTTTTTTAAAGAAATCCTATTTTTAAATAAAGCATTTTTTAAAAAACGTGTTACCAAAATTTTTATTCTTGGTTTCCTTTTAAGTCTTAACCAAATTAAATCATTTATAGATATTAAATGGGTCATTTTGATTTTATGGAGAAAAATGATGCTTTAGAAGTAGGTGTGGTATATTAATGGGTTTATTCTGATTAAATAATAAAAATACAGGGCAGTGCCCTCCGGGTATACAGGTTAAGTTTAACATTACACATTTATTCACTTAGTGGTGACGCTGAGTCACAGTTGCACTCAGAGTACACAAATCAGTGGGGTTCCTTCCAGCATGAAAACATCTCAAGGTCATGTTACTGGAATTAAGTGGTAACCTACTGTCTGACTCCTTTTCTTTACTGTGCATGCTTTTTGTCACACTCAGAACATGTTAGAGTAAAAGTGATGTTTTAGTGAAAAGTTTAATGGGATGAATATTTAAATATTAAAGCACAAGCTGGGGATATTTTGTCTTAAATAAGGAGACAGTTTTAAGATGAGGAACAGGGAGTAGCGTCAAACAGGCACCTCTCTAAATAGAAAAGTGTGAAGTGATTCTTATGGATGCATTGGGAGGCTGGTTGATGTCCCCAGCATGTCTGTAAATTACCTGAAAGAAAACATTGACAGTGAAACAGCAAACCCTTGGCTGGGAGCCAGGAGGATTACAGCACCAGCACTAATTATAGAGGCTCTTCTTGGAGAACAGTGTTTCTCAGAGTGGACAGAACCAGCTGCATCTTACTGGGAGAATTCAGAAGAAAATCAAGGTTAGCTGAGGGAGCCATATGGATTCCGGTGTGGGGAAGGGAAATGTGGAGTGCCATCCAGGTCAAGATATTGGTGGTATAAAATTAGAGTCTCAAAAGTGAGAACTATAGAACTCTGATGCTATTTCAACAAAGATGCATATTTTTCACATTTTGACATCTCAAATAGAGCTACATCTTTTTTTTTTTTAGAGCTACATCTTAAAATCAATACTGCGTCATAGTTTAATTGCAGCATTCTTAGTAGATCATAAAATAATTGATTAAATACAGTATTAAGGCAAGTACTAGTAACCTGAGGAGAAAAGATCCAGTCAATAGAAGGTTCTATCAGCACTTGCCTCAAAAAAATTTCATGTTACCAATTTCTAATTAATGGGTAAATAAAATGAATGAACTAACGAAAGATTGACTTCTTAAGATATAGTCATTCACTGGGTCAAGGTTGGCATTTCTAGCAAGGTCTCCAGATGAGAGTCAGTGATGTGGATTCTGAGTTTGAGTATTTCAGAAACTACACTGTTTCATAGAGGTAAACCCAGAAAAATTTACCTAACCAAAAATAGGTGTGTGTGTGTGTGTGTGTGTGTGTGTGTGTGTGTGTATGCATGTGTATGTGAATGTGTGTATATACATTTTATATATTTATATGTGCACCTTCCATGTTGATAGTCACTTGTAGAAACAACTTTCTCAACCTAAACACTGCAACATTGCCTGGAACTTAAGGGAAAAAAAGTCATGACTTGCAGCCAGAGTCCTTAGAGTGGCTTCATTTTTAATGACGGAGGAAGAGAGAACGCCTGTGCATGTTCATCTTCCTATAATTGCAATAGCTCTCTTCAAATGAATTATTTAGCTCCCACTCCCCACTCTCCATCTTTCCGCATTTGAGATCTGAAGGACTAACTCAAATCTCAACCATTTTTTATTTAAGTATATGTTCTAGTATAGTGCTGTATAAAAGAAATATGTGAGCCATATATGTGATTTTTAATTGTCTAGTGGCTATAGATTAAGAAGCCCAGGGGATACTAATTTTAATACTATTTTACATAACATTCAAAATATTTCAACATTCAATTATTTTTAAAATTAATATTTTACTTTTCTCATACTAAGTTTCTGAAATCTGGTGTACATTTTACATTTAGCAGCATATCTCAATTCAGACACTAAGTTTTCACCAAATACTTTATCTCTTTCATACAAAGTACATTTATATGCCCAAGTTGTTCCAAACATACCTAAGTGTTTTCTAATAATTGAATCAACGATAGGTTTTTTAATATAAAATAATTAAAAGTAAATATAATTTAAAATTCAGTTTCTTAGTCACACTAGCCAGATCTAAGGGCTCAGTAGCAACATGTGGCTAATGGCTGCCATATGGCAGCTGCAATTCTAGCCAACTTTTCACACACTTTGGCTCAGATAGTCAACTTTACTGCTTCACTTTTTGAAAGGCATTCTAAGATTCAGACAATTCATAAGTTATCTCTTGTAAGTAATATATTCACATTTGTCTATCCTACATTTGGGTAGTTTCCTCAGGTTGGGCTTCCAGTTCACTTTACAGTCTCCGGCTATGTCTAATCTGTTTAATCCTTTAAACTCCTCATTCCAATGATATTTCCCATTATGGAAGGTTTATTTGTATTTTTAATATCTACTGTTCTTTGAATGCCTTTTCTTTGTTTGTTTTTTTTATCAATCCTCATCCTAATGCCTTTTTGATTGTTTGTTTAGAGAGAAAATGAGAGGGAGGTCGGGCTAAGGAGAAAGAAGAAAAGAGAGAGATCAGTTGCCTCCCCCATGTTCCCTGACCAGGTCCAGGGATCAAACCTGCAACCCAGGTGTGTGCATTCAGTGCCCAGGCCAATGTTCTACTCACTGAGCCACACCAGCCAGAGCCGAATGTCTTTTTTTCTTAGAGTTCCTATATAGTCGAACCTGCAACCCAGGTGTGTGCCCTTGACTGGGAATCGGACCTGTGACCATTCAGTGCCCAGGCCAATGTTCTACTCACTGAGCGACACCAGCCAGAGCCAAATGTCTTTTTTTCTTACAGTTCCTATATAGTCTTTTATGCCTTTAATCATTTTAAACAATTTATATTATACTTTATGATTGTTATTCTATCTCACATTCTTGGGCTGAAAATTCCAGTGTTTACCCCATTGTGGGCCATTTCCTTGTCAGTTGTCATTTTTTATTAGGCGTTCATCTGAAGTGGGTCTTGTTTTTTGAGGAAATCCTTTGTAGCCTGAGTTGAAAGAAGCATCTCTTAGAGTGGTTTTACATTTGCTTCTGCCATGTATCCCTGAGGTGTCACTCCCCCTAGAACCAGTTTATCTTAATTTCTCAGTTTATGATTTCCCTCACCATGTGACTAGTATAAAGTCACATCCTTAAACAAGACAGAGGTTTCAAATTCTCATGAGAAATATATTTTCCCAGAGGTACAGCCAGAATAGGCTTCCTTGTGCTGGGGGAGTAGACTTAGGGACCCTCTTCCACCGGGGTTGTATCCCTCCAAGAGGCTCACTGCTACAGGGGTCTCAGTCCCAATCCTTTCCCCCAATACCGGCCTTATCTCTAGGGCCCCAGGCCCCTGGCCAGCACTGAACTCCTGGCTTACTGAGCTCCTGGGACTGCTGCATGGAACTTCCCTGTCTACCTCTCTGACCAGGCTCCCTCTGAGCTCTGCATGTCTGAAGATTTTTATTAGGCATTCAGCCATGCATATACATGCACAGGTATGTATGTGTGTAGTGAGTGTATACACACTACACATATGCAGGGTACCTCTGAATTTATTGTGTCTGAAGATTTTTATTTGTTATTTAGCCATATATATGTTTACTAGAGGCCCGGTGCACAAAATTTGTACATGGGTAGGGTCCCTAGGCCTGGCCAGCGATCAGGGCCAATCTGTGGGGGTGACCGGCAGAGCAATGGGGGGCCCCACTGGCACCTGTCGTGGCTGGCCTTGGGCCTGCAGGCTGGGGGCAGCTCCTGAGTTGAGTGTCAACCCCCTGGTGGTCAGTGTGTGTCATAGCAACCGGTCGTTCCACTAGTCATTCTGCCATTTGGTCAATTTGCATATTAGGCTTTGATTATGTAAGATATTTGGGTAAGTATGTATGTGTGTGTGTATATATATATATATATATATCCTTCTATATGTATGTGTGTATGCATACATGTTTGTGTATGTGTGTGTACACACATATACATATATATGCATACACACATACATATAGAAGTATTACCATAGATATATGTACTTGATCTGGTATCTTCAGATATTGCCTCTTTGTTAGGGCAGTCTAAAAACAGGCATATAATCTATTGCAGTCTGAAACATTCTGGTTTTTAGAACCATGGGGGCTGAAGTGTGTTATCCAAAAAGGTGCTTTTCCTGAGGGCACTTCACTTGATGACTGGAGAGCCATCATAATGAATTCATCTTTTATCTGAGCTTTTTCTTTGAATAATCACATCATTTGGATTCTTGTAAATTTATCCTGAGTTCCCTTTATAGCACACTAATCAAGAAATTATCTACCACTGTCTAAGCCTCTCTAATCATGAAAGTCTTAGAATAATGAGATTTTTCAAGCTAGAAGAAACCTTAGAAATTAAATATCCTAATCTAAGTAAGGAAATGGGTCAAGAACGGTGCTGCTTGATATGCAGCCAGTTAGCCGCAGTGCTGAAATCTTCCTCCCTTCATCCTATGATCCTGCCCCCTCCACATAATGCCACTTCACTGAGTGTTATTTTTTAAACGGTCAGGGTGGTGTCCTAATCTTTGTGGCTTCCAGCTTGCTCTCTCTGACTTGGGTGGTTTAAAAGCAGCACTCGGCTATTTAAATCATGTTTATTTCAGACTTCAGGAAAACAACTTGTAGCTAAAGACATTCTCTTGGCCTCTTCCACTGAGCTGGGCCCACAATACCCTCTCATAACTGCTCACAAGGAAGGTCCTTTGTATATTTCCGATAGTTTTGACAACACAATAACTTTTCTCATCTTGTTTTTATTCTTTGAACATCTGTTTTAATCTTTTTTTTTTTTTTTTAGAAATACCAGTCTCTATCCTTGTCCCAAGTAGCCTCACAACATCATACCTTTCTTCTCCCATAAACTAAAAATAGTCTCTGTGCTACAGGAATTGTGGTTTACACACTGACTCTAAAAAGTTTGTTTTCTGGGAATTGGTACAAAGGAAGGACAATGAGGCACGAGAAGCGAAGATTGAGGTTTAATATCCTAGAATATCTTATAGTCATAATTGAGCCTTCAATTATTATATTTATTCAATCCGATTATTATGTAGCTCTCAAGTTCCTAAGAAAGATCTCCAGGTTAGCATTAATCAGGAATGAGGACTACCAGAAGCAGAGCAATAAACAGCTATGTCAAGAACAGGCTAAAGTGTGTCTAAATTTAAATGAACCAACAGGAGAGATAGTGGTGCATCTAAATGGCAAAGGTATTTCTCATGTCAGAAAAAAATTTTCAGTAACAAATGCTGGCGAAATAAATTCACTGAAAAATCCTATGAGAAATAGCTTTCTTTATTCATACCCAACAAATATTTATTGAGCACCTTTTACCTGGCAGGCACTGGGGCTTCAGACTTGGCCCTTTCCCTCATGGAGTGTACAATCTGCTGGGAAAGACCGCCATTAAATAAGCAGGTACATTAAAGTACAAGGCGTGTGAAAACAGAGAGAAGGGGGGCATCACAGGGACACATAGCTGGGGGCCTTAAATGGGGTGGGGAGTCCCTGGGGAAACCATGTTTGCTCTGATATCAATCCTTGAAAAATAATACTGTGTTGTACAGATCATAGCTTATTTCTGACATAATTGTGGTTTCATTCATGTTATAGAACACACTTGGACCTTTGCTCATCATCTCTACCCACCCAGTAGTGATATCAAAACACCCAACGACCAGGAACATAGGACATACAGCAGTTAGAATAGAAGCTAACCATTGTGCTAGGGCAGGGTCCTGGAAGCTGCCTAGTGTGCCGTGCATTAATTGCTCGATCTTGGAGAGGTCTGGGGGTCCCATGGGAGGAACTATAGCGGAGGAGAATGACTCAGGACCACAGCTATTTACCAACCATGATAGCTTCCTGGTACATATCGATTGCATATCTGTCCTAGGTATACTGGGCTCCTCTATTGGAACAGTCTAGATTAGAATTCAAACTTGACAGGAAAATAAAACCCTTATTGTTTCAGATAATCTTATTGCACCAAACCAATCTCTAAAAAAACTTAAAGTATTTTATACAGTAATATGAAGTTGCTAGTTTTACAAAGCATTGGTTTTAATGTGTTGAGCACTAGCATATTTTTCCATATAGTGTTCAACGTAAAGCATGACATTAAGCTTGCTTGCTTTATTTTTCTTAAGGACAGAAATACAATAACATTATTTAAAGAATTTCAATAATTTCTAAATTTAGGCAGTTTAAAAATATACTAAATTTGGGGGGTATAATTTCATGTGATAAGTAAAGGTCAAATACCTCTTTCAAGGTAAGAAAAAGGAAGAAACTTTGCCGAAGTTTAAATGTTTTATTGAATTCACAAAGAGCCAGCAATTGGCTAATACAAAAAAATTATGTTATTGCTTAAAAGGAAAACATAAATTTATCTTTAGAAGAAGAGATTATATTAATTGAGCTTGGAGCTACCAATGCAATGTTAAGTATAACAATCTGTTTAAATAAGGCCTTCATTTTAATCTGGCAAAATATGATGAAGCTAGTTTTCTGGTATAAATCCAAGCTTTGCAAAATCCCAACATGTAATACTTAGGAAATGCAAATCTCCTACTGTATTTATTACATACGAAACTCTTACAGCCAAGGCAGAACTGCTTATATGAATAGCCGATTCAAACTAAACACTGTAAATTCCTGAATTTACTTTTGCTCTACCCTGACGTAAACACTCATGGATCGTCAAGTCAATTCTAAGGGAAGTTTACTTCTCCCTGGCTCTCTTCATTTGCACATGTCAAACAGCTACAAATATTTATATAATAACCTAGTAAAACTGCATAAAATACAATCACTCTAAGAAAAGGGGAAAGGAAAAATTGTTTTTCTTTTACTTTAAATCTCAAATTGTAACAGAGTTTGTGCGAAAAGGTGACCTTTGAATCTCTTACATCCTCACATGTTTTTCTCCTGAAAAAGAACCGTTTTTTCGATCATTGGATAAGAGCATTATTAAATTTGTATTTTCAGATTCACTTATGAGCATTGCTCTGGTAAGAGTTAATGATGTCGCAGATATTCTCATCGGAGCTCATTTATCGAGGATCAAAATCTAGTTTGAAACAAAGGGAACTCACACTACACTTCCAAGCGACTGTGCCCTTCCTAAAACCCAAGAGGAAAAGTGCCAAGTGTTGGGAAGAGCCAGGGCCAAGAGTCACTTCCAGGGCCTTGCAAGAGCTTTTCTGGCAACCTGAACATATTGACAGAGAATTCGTTGGGTCCCATTTTTCAGTAAGTCTCCATTTGGCAGGCGTATTTTAATGAAGTAGGCTTTTAAAATTAAATCTGCAGGCTACAAAAATAACCCCAACTCTAATAGATTTGCAGGTCTGGTCTTAGTATATTTGTAGGGTCGTCCTCCCCACCCCCACTTACTAATAGAAAGGCAAAAATATGTCCTTTGAAAGAAGCATCTTACATTGGTTAGAGGCTGTGGAGGCAGCACTGTGGAGGGACCAGCATGGGCTTTGGGATCTGACAGGCCAAGATGTGGATTCCTGCCCCGCCACCTATTAGTTGAATGATCTGAATAAACTATCCAACCTCTCCGAGTGTCCTTACCTGTATATGTCATCTGGGAAAATGACACTTCTTTGGAGGGTTGTTGGGAGAATTAGGAATAATCCATGACAGCGCTGGGCACCCAGTAAGTGCTCAATAAATAACAGCCCTTGATTTTGTTTGTTTGTATTTTGTTTGTGTTCTTTTGTGGTGGTTTTGCCTGCTCTTCACCAGCAGCATCTTCCCAAACACCAGTGCTGTGGTAACCTAGACCATTTCTCATGGCCAACCCCAGCTCTCCACGGTGGGGGTTCTGCCCCCTAGGGGACATTTGGCACCACACTGAAAGGGAGGGAGAAGGTGCTCTGGAGGCTAGTGGGGAGGACCAGAGATGCTGCTACACATCCCACAATGCACTCCCTCCCCCAACAAAGAACGATCCAGCCCCAAATGGCAGTAGTGCTGAGGTTAAGAAACCCTGGCCAACACAAGAATCACAATAAATTCTAGAGGCAGGGAAACCATAGCAACAGTCAGAACTTCATCATAATTTTCAAGCTCTCCATAAAGGGAATGAAGGACAGTCTCAGAAATAAGCATAAAATAAGTACGAATAACTACTGAACAGGCTGCCTTGTAGGTGGGCGTGGGTGGGTGTGTTTGTGATTTATTTTGAGTTCGTCTTTTTTTTAAACAGTACACCCATTCTTGCTTCAGATATATATATATGGAGTGTGATGAAGTCAGTGTTCTGTACCACCAATCTGGAATAAATGGTAACTTGCCCTGTACAAAGGGGGCTTTCAGTAATGCCCAAGTCTTCAAGCCCATGAATTAAAAATATTGATATGATTGTGTATACATCTGGACACTTAAGATCAGTATACTTCATATGTTAATGTATAAGACGGTTTAAAGGATTGAATGTATAAAAACATTTACTGGATATACTTCAGTGTGTAGGATTTTTATGAAAAAAAAAGTAAAAGAGAATCTGTGACATAATCCAAACAGGAACTGGACTAAAAGTTAACTCTGTTTTGGAGGCTATGCCATGCAAACCAACAGTATAACTTTAGAGTTTTTATGGCCCCTTGTACCTCTGAAATTCCTGTGGAGAGTAAAAGCAACTGAAGTGCAGTTACAAATCACACTTATGCAAGCTGGTCTTCCCACCTCAATGACTTTTATTAGTGTACTATGGGTTTTAAAATAAAAGCCTCATTTATGTTTTTAAAAATCATCACTAATTCAGAAAGTCTTGTTTCTTTTGAACCCAACATTAGTGAGATTATCCAACTCTAATGTATTTTGGTTTCTCACTTGAGGAATGATATTTTCAAACACTGCAAAAACCAAAAAGCCAACCCAGGGAATGTCTTAGGTAGAAGTAGATTTAAAAAAAAAAATGGGGAAGGGAATAATGTTCAGTAGTAACCAGTATCCTGTTCCCTCCTCAAATTTCTTGAACAAACATGTATGGTATGGTTTTCCTACTCTGTTAGTATATAAAAAGTGTCAGAAAATATACTTAACTTACAATAAGGTAATAATTTGGTTGATTTTATACTACTTAATTTATTTGAAATAGGAATTTTGAAAATTATTCATGGGGATAAATGTCTAATCCTGCAAATAGAACTAAAAAAGATCACTTGAACTATTGAGAACCTGTATTTCCTGCTTACATTTTTTTTAAGTAGAAAGGATTGGTGCTATGTAAGCATCCCAGGAAAGAGACTCTGGCCCTTCCATCTTTGAGTTTGTGTTCGTGTGTGTGTGTGTGTGTGTGTCTGTGTGTGTGTGTGTGTGTGTGTGTGTGTGTGTGTAAAGAATTAACAGCATAGGCGAGTCTGTGGTTGAGAAATCAGGTGTGAAGTCAGAAGAGGCAACAATAAAGACACTCAAATTCTGCTTTGTGCTTCGTTCACAGGAACAGATGGGGATTTTAAGGCTGCTATGAAAAGAATGCTGAGTTGCAGTTCATGATTGTCTAGTCTTAAACTCAGTGACAGAATGCGGTGTGTCTGTTCCCAGATACCAGAACTGTACTTCTTATAAAACCATGGCATAGCCTCAGGAAATGCTCAAGAGGAGTGATGGAAAACCACAAGGTGTAAAGGACATTCCTGACCAGGTGAACAAGGAGAACATGAAAGAGGTGAGTTCAAGTCAAATGCAAGGTCCTATGCTAAACAGCAGGCTACAAACCCAGTGTGTTCATCAACCCAGTGAAAATGGAAAATGGAAAATGTCATGTTGGTGAATTCATGGATTATATAGGGTGTCCCCCAAAAATGTATACTCACCTTTGAATAATTATTAAGGCAGTGTATATTAAAATACATTTCATTTTCAAATGTGAGCTATCAGCTCTTAAAGTGTGAATACTTTTTTTTGAACACCCTGTAGAAACATAATGAACTTTAGAGAAAACCGAGGTAAGTGGGGGGTTATCTTCCAACTAAAAATGAAGGAAGATGAGCATCCCTACTCTGTCAGAGGCAGACAGGCCAAGAGCCTGGTCAGGGCAGATGACGGCTGACTCCTGTGGCGTTCCTGTGTCCACCCCTTCAACAAGGGGTAACTGTGCCCCTACCTCACGGCAGGCGCCAGGCTGCATGCACCACAAAGGCAATAACAACGCCTGCCTCAAGCAGGTAACAGGCTGGTGGGAGACTGCACAACAATCATTAGAATCGTGGATGTACTCGGCTCTGCAAATATTTCCTTGAGTTTTGATGAGGCCCTGCATCCTATTTCCACCTGGTATTTACCCAACCAAGAGTATAACAGCTACTTGCATTGAACATGTCTTTCTTCAGGAACAGCTGAGGTTTAGATAAATCTTTGTAACTGTGAAAAAGCCTGAAATCGTTTAGTTCTAACTCTTTGAGGAGGCTGTACCAGAACCGCACGACACTGCTGTCGCTGCCACTGACCTCGAACCCAGGCCAGTGGAGATGGATCTCAAAGACGAGCTGTCCAATCTGTTCCAGGACATCTTCCAGAATAAGATTTTCCAAAACTTTCCATTCTGCGCTCTCCAGATCTGCTTTGAGAACATCAATCTGTAACATAAGGATAAACGGAGATCAGCATATTCAATAAACATGGGTTAAAACGCCATCGTGCTGTCAGGAGCATCACCGTTGAACTACCTCCCCAGAAAGTAGAATTGCTCAAATTTTAGACTTAAAGGTCTTTTTCAGATGGTCACTTACAAATTTCTAGCCTCACTCCACACCAAATATTAACATACAGATAATGAAATGCCAGTCGGAAATCATAACGGGCCCTCGTCCTTCCTGCCCAGTTGGAACGGATGCCCGAGAAGGAGATGCTGGGCTGTGTGTATCACGAAGCTCTGCGCCCACAGCCACTCCCCAGAAACCCACGTGCTGCACAGAGGAACCAAGTGTGTCCAGACTGAACGATGGCCTGCAGAGAGGGCCTGACAGAGGACTGCTGGCTGCAGGGACCCCCTCACAAACCATACCCGCTCCAACTTCACCAGCACTGAGAGTTCTCAGGAATATTGGACTTGTAAAAAAAAATATTATTATGTCATGATTTCTTTAAAAAGTGTATATCCCAGCACAGAATTCCTTTTTTTTTTTAAGTGAAAATAGCATTCTCTGTTCATTTAATGAATACAAATTCACATTCCGGATGAGATAAATATGGAAAAAAAGAGTGAGGATGGCAGAGATTTTACAATTAATTAAGGTATGAGAGTCAGCTCCTTTTTGCTGGCTTTGCACAAAATCCATTAGAATAACAGAAAGCAATGAAAGCTCATTCTTTACCGAGTGCCTATATGGGCCTGGCACTATGCTAAGTGCTTCATCTTGCAATATCCATGTACTCCCCTCAACAATTCTGAAAGGATGGTTCTCTTCGTGTCCCTATGTAGAGTTTAGGAAACAGACTCACAATAACCCATCCTGTCACACAGCTGGAGAGGCAGAGGTGAAATTAGAACCAAATCTGTCTCCTGGCCCATGTTCTTAACCACTACACAATGCTGACTCCCCATAAACCACAAGAGGAACAATAGTAACTCGGAGGCCCTAAAAGGCTTTGGTTTGGAAAATAAGGTGCTATCGGAGAGAGAGTAAAGGTCTGTGAGTAGAAGTATTGTTATCGACATCACGGCTTTACATTTGCAGAGCACTTTCCAGCTTAAAGAATTACTTTCTACATCTGTCATCTCAGTTAAGCAGCCCCATCAGCACACAAGGATTTGGTAAAGCTGACTTCCAAGGAATAAAGAGAAGTGGAAGTGGATAATTAGACCACCAAGGAAGGTGACAATATTCAGACACAGACTAGAATGAAGAGGATGGAGGGATCACTGCAGTAGAGCAAAGGCCGGCTCCCCAAGAGGTGACAGCACCACACTAATCAGCCCTTCAGGAAGTGCCGACTGGAGTCACCATCTCCAGCCCATGAAAGAATATTTTTGCCTGTGTAGAGGGATGGATAAGGACCAAGACCAAGTCTGCCCCAGCCTCTCCTCTCTCTCAGCACATGGCTGTTTGATAAGTTTATTAGATGCAGCTGAGTCATGAGGCTCTCAGTGCAGTGGTAGCATTTCTTGCAGGATTTCAGAGTTGGATGGAGAAGATGCATAGAATTTAGACATAATTGCTCCAAGGAAAGGGTCTTTGCCCAGCATCCTGAGATCCTGTGGGAGACACTTTCATCCTCTTGCCTTGGCTAGTCCCTCCTGGTCCATCAGAGAAAGAGTGATGATGATAACAACCCCAAGATTACCAACAGGCCTGAGAAAAGGGTAGATATCTATAAAGCAGCTGGTTGGTTCAACAGTTTCAAAATGAAAGAGGAAAACTTAAAACAAACAAAAAACAACTTTCTTTTCTGAAAGGAACAGAGCAAAGACAGGTTCCATGTGAACATACACAAGGCTAAAATAATTCTTGTCAACTGGATGCAATAGAATTAATTTGCCCCTTTTTTCATCTCTGTGGCCTTGGCACTTCTTGGCTTTGTTTAATTTTTGAAGTCTAAGGCAGAAAATTCCTGAATGAGGGTAATTAAGCTGTCAAAAGAGATATTTAATCAAAACTTCAAAACACTTTCTAATTGGTACAGAAAATATCCAAAACCAAAAATCAACAATTGTTATGCCAATTCACATAGTCAAGAATTTCTTAGGTTACTTATGGATTTATTTTTTTACTACGGTTTTCTGTTAGTTTGCATATGTTTAATGATCAATAAGTTAAAGCATTAAAAGAACAGGGTAAGCTAATCAGCCTAAAATTGGCCTAAAAACTATAATTATGAAATACAGAGGAATTACTTTACATATTTTTTCCAAACATTTTTAAAATAAGCTGTTAATCAGAAGTTATGAGCAACTGGAAAATAACCAAATTATTAGGCTAAATCACAGCAAATATATGCTTTCTTTGGAAATCCAATCTTAATTTACAAAATGTTAATCCATTCTAAAGATCAAAAATTATATTCAAACATGACAACATCCACACCCCCTTTTGATTTCCGTGACTAAAAATTCTCCACTTCAATCAGAATTGCACAGGTTGGTCTATCTCATGCAGCCCAGGCGTAGTGTGGCACTGCGGAGCACAGATAACCAAATGCTGTGATTAAAACATGGTTTTCTCTTACACTGTGATTCTCCTATTTCTAGCATCTCAGAATGTTCTGTTACTACTATTTTGCAAATATAATTTCCATCATTACTGCATGATGCACCCACTATTATTATTATTAAAAGGCTCTAAACATCTCTGAATAAGATATGCCAATTGTAATATACTAATACCAGTTTTCTACAATTGTGGCACTAAAAAAATCATGCAAATGATCATATAAGAATAATCAAGTGCAATCCTAATACAGTTAGGTTAAACAGAGTTTCTTGAAAAAAACAACAACTGTTAACTGTCTGCAATCTCCAGAATGGCTGAAGACATTCTTGGGTAGAAGGGTCTCAAAGAAGGTAGATCAAACAAAGTTTTGGTATCATTTCAGACACATTTAAAGGGTTTAATCATACTTTTAACAGTTTTATTATTTTTTAGTCCTAATCTGAGGATATTTTTTCCATTGATTTTTTTAAGAGAGAGTGGAAGGGAAGAAGGGAAGGAGGGGAGAGAGAGAGAGAGAGAGAGAGAGAGAGAGAGAGAGAGAGAGAAACATTGATGTGAGAGAGACACATAAATTGGTTGTCTCCCGCTTTCACCCCAACCAGGGTGGGGATCAAACCTGCAACCCAGGTACATGCCCTTGACCAGGAATTAAATCCTTGACCCTTTGGTTCCCAGTCTAATGGTCTAACCTTGAACCCCACTGGCAGAGCTCAATCGTAATTTTAAAATAATTATGTCGATACAACTTCTTCCTGCTTTTTGGATTAATTGTGAAAAGTTGTTTTTAATGATTAAAGTAAATCCAAGCTTTTATATATCAAGTCTACTTAAAGCAAGGTATGTATATCTGCACCTACAAAACTAAAGCACATTAAAACACATTAAAAAGAGGATCATGTTCTTGTAGAAAAACAGAAGAAATTAATCTATCTTAAATGAACAAGAGGATTAAAAGTCTCTTTAAGAGCCTTAGACTTTAAACACATTAGATCAGGTTCAATTATCACTGTGGGCTGGCAGAAATGTAACATTACAAGATTTATGTTACCACCAGGGGAAAGGAGATAAGACTCACCCGGCATATTGTGAGAAATATAAAGGCCTACTCTAAGCTAATGTAAGGCCAATTCTGAAATAATAATAAAAGAAGATGAGTTTTATGTAGTGATCAGCTCACAGAAATAACCTCTGTAGGGGAGCAACACTTGGCAAATGAATTTAAAATAAAAAATAAGGAAAATATTTACAAACAAAGACTCTTTTGCCAGATCTCCAGCCTGTTCCAAAGGCTGCTGAGCAAGTGTCTTCTGAACAGGATCAAGTGATGTAATGCAGGACCTCAGAAACCCAGGTCAGGGCTGGTCATTGGTGAGCTGGTGACAAGTCAGAAGTCAGCAAGGCTATGGATGACATACAACAGCAAGGGAGGAAGCAGCGCAAATTCAGGCAGGATGGAGGTGGCAGCCAGGGACTTGGCCAGGGCAGGGTCATGCAGGAAGGCCATGACAGGACCAAGGACAGCACCAGGCAGCAGCTTTAATTTATTTCTACCCCCACTTCCCTGGGCAGCTAAAACCAACACACAGCCTCTCACCTTAGACCAGAACCCCGCGCCTTTAAGCTACATCACCTGGTTCATTTATTTTTCTGACCTGATCATATTCATGCAAGCATTCTCAAGTATTTCCAGAAGGAGATGGAGCATAAAATATAAACATGTATAAACTATTCCTACACAAACAGATGTGTAAACAAATAAATGACCAAGTAAACACCCAAATAAAATGTTCCTCAGCCAGACATGTTCTTGAGGTTCAATAGGTGGGAGGCCTTTGAAGTGGGACCAAGCCAATCTCAGAGCATGGTGAGGCCAGCAATGTGACGTAGGCTACATAAACATGGTCCAAGTGCAAAAAGCAAGCACTGATTTAGAGGGACACACAATAAACTCATTGGGTGATTTAGATACTTTTTCAATATACTGAAATATGAGTTAAAAATAGCACTGTGCTGGGGGTGACAATTATGAAAGGATCAGCAGTGAGTGAAGACAAGTGTCAGAAGACAGAATTGAGAGGAGATGAGGGAATAGTAACAGGTCTCGGGGGTGTGCTGTATGTCAGGGTCACCTTGATGGCCTCCACTTCTGGACCCTGGATGGACTTCTGGGGAACTACATACATGGTTCCACTCCTTTGTCGACATGCCTGATTCCCCTTCCCTCCCCCCTTTACTTGGGCTGTAAGTTCTTCCAGGGCAGGACCTAACTCCTCTTTGGTATCAAGTTTCCATGAGAGTTCCTGGCAGGCAGTCCGTGTAATATCCTATCAGATAACAAGTCCTGTCTGCTCTGCTTCTGTAACTTCTTACACTGGGCCCCTCTTCTCTGCCCCTCACTTCCACACCGTGATCATCTTACTTCAGAC